CCCTTTGTTTCCCCTTGCCCCCCCCCCCCCCCCCCCCCCCCCCCATCGCCAAAAAAGGGATTTCAACTAGGAATCCCAGTTGAGGCTGTCCATTTATTTCTCCTTTGTTTGTAGAATCTTTCCTAATTTGTGCAAAGTTAATATTTTTGTTTTTTATGATATTCACCTTTTCTACTTTGGATGCATTCCAAAATGTGGGAAGAAAAAGCAACATCTACATGTTGTTAGCTCTGTCCAATTTCCTTCTTTCAAAAGCACAGGAAATTCAGCCTGACAGAAACAAGAAGTTTAATCAAGTAATATGCCATGTTTGATGTTACCTTCATCTAAATCAAGTTTCTTTGGAGGTTCACTTTCCAAGACATCTGGTACTTCCGATGGAAAAAAGAGAGTTTACAAAGTTAATTAATAACGGGAAACTGGTTAATGAATTGCATGATCTACATTAAAGGTTAAAGATAAAGGTTGCTAATGATTTATTGGGAGGGGATATTTCCAATTTACTGTTTTTATTTTTTCTTAGCTTTGTTTTCATGAGGCTATGAATTGACTTATTCTACTTGTGCTATTAAACTCATCTTTTGTATTTCGTCTGTTCCTTCTTTCGTTCTTACCTCTTTTTGTTTACCTCTCAATTGACATGATTTGTTTCTCTCTCCGTCACTTTTGTAAAGCTATTTATTGCCCCCTGTCCTTCTATTTATTACTGTCTCCTTCCTGTATATTTTCCTCTACCATTTTACATGACTGTATTTTAGTGACTTTTTTGAGTTTTTTCCTTGATTAAAGATGAAGTTGAGTTCTGGTCATGCGATTGCATTGTGAAAGAAATGATGTGGAACTGACCAGAAAAGGTTGATCATCTAGCATATAAGAATTTGTGTGTATTGCAAGGTTCTGGAATCATCAAAATGATAAGAAATTTGGCCAAGTCTTGGTAAAGTTACAAACACTTGCACAGAAAGATGTATATGGGACTACACGAACACGTGGCGTAAAAAGCCGGCCCCCGATTTTTACGATGTTACATGCATATTTAGAATATGAAGGCATTTGAAGAGCCATGCTTTTCAGGAAACATGTCTTAACTGATGTTCTTCCACACTTGCATAATAAGAATGAGTAATGCTCACAAATTATTTTTCACCTCTTCCCAGAACTCAACCTTCTCTTTAAAGCTCTTTATCTACCCTTTCTCCTACCTTTGATAATTGAATTTCTCTTGCCCCGTCTCTTCTGTGTATCTAGCTCTTTTATGGTGGCTCTCCACTTCAATCTGTAGAAACTCTTAAAGATTTCTTTCCTTTTTCAAATTCATTTGCTTTCCATTTGTTCATTCTTTTTCTCATCTCTTGTCCGGAAGAACAGTCAAGTTGAATTTGATTTGATGCTTTAATGTTTCCACTCCTGGAAATAGAGGTAATTTAGGTGCAGGCTTGGATTGGGATAGAATCAAACACAAATTGGCAGGAAATACATCTGTTTTATGATGATTATGACTAAGTCCAGTACAAGCAAAAAAGGGGGTTAAAAGTAGCCGTGATACATGCACTTTCCGACACGGAAATATCGCTCATCCCATATTTAGAATACCATATGTAAAAAGAATGTTATATCATTTTATTGGGATTATTCAAAAGGGCTGCCCCTGAAGTTGTTTCCCATTATCTTCTTGTTTAATAAGAAGAGATGACAGGAGGTGTATATCTAGAAACTGAGCGACAAATTCCCAGTTGATCTGAAGACGAGAATAAGAATGAAAATAGAATGGTATACCTCCTGTCTGTAATTGATTTTCTCCTTATATAAATCATATTTGTTCCCTTTCTGATTAAAATTAGTTTGACAAATCATGCAAGTGTCCTATTTTTATGAACTCAATTCGAACATGTGATACAAGTAACCCGAGTGTCACATGAGCCTTATTGTTTTAAGCAAAGTAGTATCTCTTTGTTTTAAGCTATAGGTACAAGTATGTGAAGTATATAATGTCACATTCTTTTAATGAATTTATTTTATATGAGGAAGTGATTATTAAATGTGAATAGATTTAAATCTTAGTTGTATCATTATTACTGGATAATTATTTTCATTGTCTTTTGCCTTCTTGAATTAACAAGTATGTATGTACATGTATGACCTTCCCATATCTTGTTGAGACTGTAGTACAAAAGAGGTGTATGGGGTGTTTGCAAATGTGATGTTTTACAAACAATTCTTTAATCATAATTTATATTCATTTTGTGCATTGTCATGCAACAGTATGGCATATTTACAATGAGTTAGGGCCTACAGCAATTACATGATGTACAGTAGTCAATAATTCGAAACTGTATATGTGGCCTGTGTGGGTGTTTCAAATTCCATTAGATCAAACTATTTGAAGAATTTCAAATTGAATTGCAAAGCCAAGAATTAAAATGATTGCTACTAGCATATCTAACTCAAATTTCCTGATTTCAAAGAACACATGCAATGCTTTCCATTGTTATGTACATGTATGGAAGCGTTGGAAAATTGCTTAGTGTGTCAATGTCGTATTTTGCAAAGTTCAGGAAAAAAGTCTTTTATTTCAATTGTAGGAAGCTGTATATGAGTAAATAATACCTTTTTCATATTTTACATGGTGTGTAGCATACTTTTGAAATACAACCTTGCTTTAGTTCGAGTCATCTTATCTCCTATGCTATAGATATGCTTGCTCGTTTATGGATCTCTGGTTCATTTTCATTGTCTGTAAATCAATATCGCGAGTCATTAAGAATTCCTGGCATACCAGCCTTCCCAACAAAGGGAATAAAATACATAGAAGAGGTGAACAAAAATACCGAGGCTATTGTCAGTTCTGTTGACAATAGGGCTGGGTCCTCTGTATGTAGTAAGGATTCCATAACGCACAAAAATTAAGCCAAGAATGTATTCTTCATATATCACTGTGTATGTTATAGTTCAGAATTCTTTCACAGTATTAATGATCCCTTTTCCTGTTTGTTTTCCTCAAACTACTTTGTAGTTTCCAAAGGAAATAGCGTAAAGTTTATGTTGAAGTATATGAATTAATGTCCTTATGGCTCTAAACAGATGCAACAGTTATTATTTTGTAACACAAGATAAGTTGTAGCTTCTTTGTAGTAAATAGTACACATAATGATCAAGTTTATCCATTGAAAAGATTGACAAAAGTTGTGAAAATGCATCACATAATAAAAAAGGGCCTGCAGCATTAACTTGGAAATTGTCAGATAAGAAAAAAAAAAAGAAAGGGAAAGAAAGTTGAACTGTTTTGTCAGTGGCTGTCCCCCTGTCTGTTCCTGTCGCGGAGAAGAAAATTAAATCAATCCCTAGGCTCCATTCTCTACATAGTCTGCATAGCTGAGGCCTGTTGATAGCGTGGGAAAGTGGCTGACCAGCTTTGCCTACAGAGCGTTTGCTTGCACGCATGCACAAAGATGGAAAAAAGGAAAGAAGGCCTGTCCTCATCAGCTCAAGATTGCCAAATATCCCGCTATTTCAACTATCTCGATCGCAAATTATCCAGCTAATTTGTGTCTTCATCAGCCCGAAGTTGCAATTAGCAGGATATATTGTCGGGATAATCAGCCCAAGATATCTTGGGATAGTTTGCAAAATATCCCACTATTTGGCAAAATATCCCGCTATTGGTCCGGTGCGGCTTCACCAGCCCGAAGACTCGCACTATGCACGAACGCTAAGCGAAATATCTCGAGCTAATTTCTCAAGGTCGAGTTTCAAGTTTCGAGGTCGAATCTCGAGCTGATGAAGACGTGATTTGTAACTTCAGGATTATTTCCCAAATCAGAAATAGCGGGCTATTTGGCAAATCTCGAGCTGATGAGGACACACCTAGAGAGAAGAAATCAAAGAAAAAAAAGGAAAGTCCTTAAAAAAAGGTTAGAGACGGGAGACATTTTTGTTTGTATCCCAGGGAGAATGTTGCCTAATGCTGTCAAAAAGAATGAAGGAAGTGCACAGGCGACACTACGACTAATAAACATCACATTTTATTGTCATAATTCATGAGATTTATCATTTTGGGAAATGTGTTCTCTTTGTGCTTCCTGGGAGAGCTTGGATATAAGTTGGTATAAAAATCATGAAATATTATTTGTACTTTTAAGAAAGTCTGTAAACAATGCTTATATCTTGTGCTATTGAAAAAGTGGAACATATTATTTTGCACTATAAAAAGGGCATTGAAGCAGCTACATCTTAAATTTCATCTTACAGTGTATTTTTTCAGAAATTAACTCAATTTATTTTTTACTTTTTCTCATCCTAATGTACTAATACACCCAGTCCCCTTGGTAGGTACATACATGTACATGCAGGGGCCACCATGATAAAATTGTAGTCTGTACAAAAAGTATATTGGGATGATCTTATCATATGAATGGGAGGGAGACTGGACAGACAAGTTGACCTTTTTTATGATGTCACGTTGAGGTCAAGTATCTGATGTCAAACAGAACCATTGTGTACAAAGCAATGAGTCACATGTATTCAAGTTGTATGGTCAAGAGGAGATTTTTAGAACAATGGTCAATAAGTTCAATTCTGAATCTTTTTTAATGATTAATACTTAAAAATAAGCCTCAAGTACACATGTGCTTCCATATTTGATGCGGTACCCTCACATTTGTAGGCGTTTGTTGCGTTCAAAATGCTTTCCTTGGTATGATACTGTAGCATTATGCAGGTACTGTAAAAATTGAGTCTTGCAGGAGAGTATGATGTCAATGAGTCAATCATAAATTTCCATCATAAATTTCATTATTGCCATAAATTTTCTTCTTTAATTAAAGATGTTGTGCGCACTTCTGGACGTGTGACAGAAAGTGCTTTTGCGATGTTCAAGATATTGGTCTTGGGCAGTGTTTGTAATGTATCATCAGTTGCTCATGTCCTGTGATACATTTATCATCTTCATCAATCTAATAGTTATAATCGGTAACTCATTTATCTCTTTCTGTTATTTACAGGTGACATGGGGTACGCCATGGGTGGACGATCGGAATCGCCGAAGGAGCTACCGTCACGCACCAACCGGCAGCGGCGGAGCGTAGAGAGACGGGAAGGTCCTCTCGTGATGAGATGCGGCGACGGTGGTGATCACAATCACAAGGCTACAAGCACGGCAGCGACATCAACAAGGTGTGCCAGCACGCAGACGTGAGTGTCTTGCTTTGCTTTGCATACCGGTATCTCACATCATAACAGGAAATGATCCCCTCTTCCTCCCGTTCAAAAATAAACAAACAACAAACAACAAAATAGAGGCCCTGTTTATAGCACACCTATGGTCAAAAAATTCTGACTATGCAGACATTTTGTCTTCATCATTTCTTTTTTTATTTACATTTTATTTGGTCTTCTTCTTCTCCTTCTCCCCCCCCCCCCCCCTCTCTCTCTCTCTCTCTCTCTCTCTCTCTCTCTGTCTCTCTCTTTCTATTTCTATTTCTATCTATCTATCTTTAATTTTAGTTTAGATGTATACATGATATCAAAATATATCAAGATCCTTTTGCATGTATGAGATATGATCAATATTGGCAATCCCAAACTACCCCAAGTGATTGTTTCTTGTATCGTGTCAGTGTTTTTCTTTATTTTGTAAATTTTGCTCAGCATAAGCACTTCCACATTGCACGAAGAAATGGTAAAGTTTGTGCTACATGTAGTAGTAGAAATTATGTCTACGTGTGAAACTGTAAGCATGCAAATCATGAACCCGGTAGAAGCTCGTTTGGATTTTAATTTTCTTTTTCTTTTTCTGGCAGAATTGTACACTCTGACCCTCAGAAAAGATAAGAATCAAATGGTTGAAATATTATTTGCTCAGTGCCATGGATAAGCCACATTCCTGGCATATGTGAGTTGATAGTGTCTGCTTCAATCCATAGGCCCATTCATATTGTAAACTTAATCTTTTTTCGTTCAGAGGACATTGAGTCGGACTATTGGTCGATTTGGTGATGAAACATATTATGAAATGGAAGCATTTGTGATGAAAAGGAATATAAACAAAAATTAAATCAACACTTTCTTTCCACAAGTTCACAATGTAAATACAGTGTAGAGTTTATATGTATATGTACGATGTACATGTATATACTATAAAGGAATTGTAGTTGTTGAAAAATGTTTGAATACAGAATTTAACTGCATGATATTGACTGAATTAGTTTTCCGGTGTGCATGAGCTTGAGTTTAAAGTCACATTTGTTTGAGCTTGGCTGGCCTGTCATAGTACAAACTTTTGCATGTGATCTTCTGCCTATAAAAATGTATGATATCTTTCTGTTTCAATTTAATTGATCATGCACAGAGTTGGAATGTATTTGCAGATCCGTTGCACTTCATGCCCTACCTACGCTAGAGTAATAAAAAAAAGAGTAGATTGTGGGTGGTGGCTGGTGAAAGGGCGGTGGACAAAATTTGTAAAATGGTGAACTTTTTTGTCCTAAGGGTCTGGACGTGCTGGTCAACAATGGGGGCCATAGCTTGACCAGAGAGATTGACTGGTTCTTAATTTCTCAAATGTATGGCATTCTTTTACTGGAGGTCTTTTGTTAACGGAATGTCCTTTTGGGTAGAATTGACCTACCAGTAATACAATGAGAACAACTCCCACATGCAATGTACAAGAATGGCCACACAGTGTGTGCATTACTATTTCATAGCATGAACTTTCTTTTGATGCAATATGATATGGTCTTCACTCTTTAAGTAGTTTCCTACCTGTATATGTACTGTAGGTAAATATAATTGAAATGGTAGCATATACTAATTAATGCATGAAACATAACAAATGGACTCTCATATTCATCATCAGTCACCTCCAGTCAAAATAAAAAGGGGGAAAAATGAACCATTTGTCTTTAGAATAATTGTTTCCATTCAAAAGTTTTATTGGACGTACCGGTACATGTAACAGGAATGGAGTTCTTTCAAAGCTTGCCATAATGGTTGGAGATATTCACTACTGACTGATGGTATGCGCGATAGCTCAGTTGGTAGAGCAGTGGTCTCTAGCTAATCCGGTGACCCAGGTTTGAAACCAAGGCGATATGCTTGTGCCCTTTGGAAAGGCATTAATCCTCATTACCAGTCTTTCGATGAGGACCTAAAGCCGTCACCCCTCTGGTTGCTTACTAACAAGCACTTATACTTTCTTAGCAGTCAGGTAAAATAACCACCACTACACAGTAAGCAGAGTTCATCAGAGGTAAAAAAAACAGGTTCCATCATACATGTAAACACCAATAAGTCTTTTCATATGATTTGAAAGCAATGTAAGGCACTCCATGATCATTCATTATTGTTCTTTTTGTCTCTTTCAATCTGTTTGTAGATTAATCACCAGTGAGATGGTAGGGATCCCTGAGATCAACCCAGACCTTCCTATTCCAAGCAGCTCTGGTCTCATGTCACAGGAAACCCTTCACAAGAGACCCTCAGCGACCATCCCCCCACCACCGCACCCCTCCCTTAGACACCGTAACATGCCCCAGCAGCTTCTACGCCCCTCGGTCATCACCTGCGCCCCTGCACCCCTCCTGCGAGAACCCAACAGGACCGATGGAGGACCGGTAGCTATGGTTCCAGGCGCTGGGGCGGGGCTTGGTCCAGTACCCCCGTATCTCAACGGAAGGGCGAGTAGCGCAGAGAGGTGGTCAGCTAAGATGCCTCAGAATCACTTACCTTTACAACCACAGAATGCAGGTGAGAAGAGAACTTGTTTGTGTGTGCGTGCGGTCTCCAATTGTTTGATCTGAAATGATGTCTTAAGAGCTTCAAATAGCAGTTTAAAGGAAAGAACTGTAAGTTTAATTTAGAGATTGATGTGATTCATGTAGCAGTCTGAAGAGTATTGGTGTGCAAATTGATCAGAAGAAATATCCACCATTCCTCAAAAACATGAGGCGAATACCATAATACCACAAAGGAAATAATGATCTCTTCATGGACTAGGAAAAGATTAATGTAAGTTGTCAGCTGTTAGCAGTGGTAATCATCTTTTAGTAGACATATAGAATTCCATAATTAATCTCGGAATCTGTGAGTGAAAGAATAGTACTCTACATGCACTAGCATATCTTATACCATTAACCATTTGCATGTTTCCTTTGCAGATATAGATCCTGACATTGAAGAGCATTTCAGAAGAAGCTTGGGCCAAAACTACCGTGAGGCCTACTCCAGTCCCCCACCCACAGCTACCAGTCCACCTGCAGCCCCCTCCCCCACCCTCAGACAATCCTCATCACCTAAAGAAGTCAACATCACAGGGTCTGTCGACGATCACTTCGCCAAGGCTCTCGGAGACAAGTGGTCCCAGATCAAGGACGTCATTGAGCCAGTGTCGAACAGAACATCGCCCTCTGTGTCCCCTTCCCTAGCCCTGTCGTCATCGCCCGTCGTACAGCAGCAACAAGCTTCGGTGGCTTCATGAACCATGGAAAGGTGAATACCATCAGGGAACAACGTACGAGTCATTGCTGAGATGTGAGGTTGTACTCGGACAATCATCTCCATTGTGCAAAGGAGATTTCGACTCGCCGGTTCTGAAATGTTCCAAGGCCCTGAAATGTTACAAGTGTGCACACCAAGTACCTTTCTTGATGTCATGTTAAAACAGTCATCTGAGCTACAGACTTTCTGACCCATTCAAGTATATTCATCTATTTTGCCAGTAATTCTTGCTTCTGAGGAGTCAGCATATCCGATTTACCAGTCATCCAATACAGTTTGAGCACAAGAAGAGCCAGTTTAGTTGTAATTATTGTATAGCAATATGATGGGACTGGGGTCCAAGAAAAGTGAGTATTGGGTGGAGTAGTTTGCTATATATACATATGAGTAATTGAGAGACTGGGAAATATTGTAGGTATAGTGGCATACACATTATACCAGTGGTAAAAGAATCAAGTATAATGTGTCAAGCAATTTAAAGAAGACAATCGACATGCTTTGTCAAGACATGCAGTCATCTCAGTTTGATAATTTTCAGAGTTTGATAAAAGTTTGGACGGATGAGATCTTAGGCCAGTAAATTTGCAGTCTACTAAGGGCAATCAGAATCCCTAGTAATTGCAAGGCTGCACACTTCTTAACCAAGAGCTTTATCCTGGGAAAAAAGAAAACCTATAAGATAACTGAAATATGGTGTGCTATGTTTAAATTGATACCCCTGCTTGTACGATGTATCATGTATTTGCTACGTCTTTTTTCTTTAGTCATCTGTTTTGTAATTGTAGAGTGTAATCCAATTGGAGGAAGATGTTGTCATACTTGTACATGTGGATGTAGATAAATCATGGATACTGAAGGAAAAATCAGACAAAGGGCTTTGTTTCTTCACGCCCCTTCATGGACCCTCCTCGTTGCTAATGCGATTGGGAAACGGGCGTCTCCGAAAATGAAATGACAGGACACACAATACAATGAACAGTGTGTTTCTTTTAATGAGTATTGTAAAAGGGATAAATGAGGAGAGGGGGGGGGGGGGGGGGGGGGGGGGGGGGGGGAAGAGAATCATAGAAAGATGGAGAGAGAAAGAAGACAATGGAAGAGGACGGGTGAAAAGAAAAAGAGAGTGTGACAGAGAGAGAGAGTGAAAGATTGAGAGAGAGAGAGAGAGAGGTTGAGAAGAGAGAGAGAGAGAGAGACAGAGAGAGAGAGAGAGAGAGAGAGAGAGAGAGAGAGACAGAGAGGAGCAGGTGTGTGGCTATGGAAATTTGGCAGGTAGCCAGGTAGCCTTAGCTTTTGTGTTCAGTTGATGACTGCAGATCTATTAATCTGATTTGCATGTTACAAGTATTTTGATGTAAATGGCCCCCCATGGAGCCTAGTAACGTCAGATGGGAGACAATAGGAGGTCAGGATGGATAGAGAGACTGTGAGGGGGTACATGTATTAATTAAAATCAAATCAAAACGATTTGTAACTATTATAGTTCTTGTGAGATGATCAGGTTCCTAAAGAATATTGCTTGTGACACAATATAACACCCTGGGTGTTCTCTCTCTCTCTCTCTCTCTGTCTCTCTTTTTTTTCCTCTCTCTCTCTCTCTCTCTCTCTCTCTATTTCTCTCTCCCTCTCTCTCTCTCTCTCCCGTCCTCTCTATCTTTTATATAAAAATGATTTGTTTCTAGTATTACATTTCTCTTCTGTCTATACTTTTCGAGGCAAGTCAAGTTACAACTTTGATTTTTTTTTGCCATTGAAGATTTTGCATCACAATTTTAGATCTTTTCAGGGGGTGTGATACTCATCTGAAAATGAGAAACAAAGTTATCCTGTTGCTAGGTTGTGGTGTATATTTCTTTTTAATTTTAATTTCTAGTTAAAATGCTTGTCTGTCAAAGAAACCATACAATATTTTCCTAAAATGAAGGATGGAGCTGTGATCTTGTGAGGTTTTGTTTCATGCTTAAGCAAAGAATGTGTACATGTCTTATGATGTTATATTTATATGTGAAATAGAACTTTAATCAGTCATTCCTGCATAGAATTTAAACATACCGGTATTTTTTTTTTTTTTTTTTTTTTGGGGGGGGCTGGGGGTGGATAAATTGTAATAGCATCTCTACACAAAATCTTGTAGTCTCCCAAAAGTCTGCCACCAAAGGTGGTGCCATTAAAGCCAATACCTAGATCGTGATTTGTTTAAAAAAATTAATATTGCTTTGCTCTATCCCTTCACTGTCTCTAAAGTTTTGTATACATGTATGTGTGAAATATATACACTAAATGTATTTTGCAGCAATAAGTATAAAGTTGGTTCTTTGCCATTCCCAACTTCTTGTACTCTGTATAATCCAATTTACAGAAGATGAATACATGCTTGTCGTCATCATCATATATCTGAAAAATGTACATAAAGTGTCAGGACAAGTTATCCTTAAGGAATATCTGTAAATATTGTACAATATAAACTGAATTATATGAGAAGAATTGATCTTATTGTGAAGTTGCTTGTCTTTGTTGTTGAGGTATGATCGTGATATTAATGTTGAAAGATGTTTTTCTGTATTGTATGTAAATGTATAGCCGTGGTTCCCTATACATTTCAAAGTGAAGGACACAAAGAGTCAGAGATGTTGGAAGTACATGTATCTTGAAAGTATGTCATGTTTAAGGTTTTTTTGTTTAAGTGTGGAGATATTGCATCATGTGGATATATGATAGGAAAATGTGTAGCCTGTCATTATTGTGAAATTAAATATGGACATTTTATATCAAAATTTATTCAGATTGTTTTGAATTTATCTTTGAATGAAGTGAGAGCTATTTGGGTATTGTAATGCCAATGCCAGTGGGTTAGAGGGGATATTCAGTCAGTCCCTGATGATGATGATGATGATGATGATGATGATGATGATGGTGGTGGTGGTGGTGGTGGTGGTGGTGGTGGTGGTGGTGATGATGATGATGATGATGATGATGGTGGTGGTGGTGGTGGTGGTGGTGGTGGTGGTGGTGGTGGTGGTGGTGGTGATGATGATGATGATGATAACGATGATGGTGATGGTGATGATAACGATGATGATGATGATGATATGGTGATGATTATGATGATGATGATGCTTTTGGTGATGATGGTGATATAGGTTGAAGGCAATGGTGATGGTGGTGGTAGAGACAGTGATTATGATGATGATAATGATGATGATAAAACGAAACATATCTAACAATTTCATTCACATTCGTCTTTATCAAAACTGCTTGATGATAGTGTCTTGCGATGTGTAATAATAATGAGACGATATAGAGAAGTGAGAAAGGGTAACGGGGATTCCTGTTTATGACCGTCTGCTTCATTTACGTCAAAGATACCCACTGACGTACACATCCTCGTCACAAACTCCCGACCAGTTGCATAACATAAGCTTAGAATCGGTAGGGTTACCATGGTAACCCAGGTCTGCGAAATATCACGCACGCCTTTTCTTTTTATTTCCACTAATGGCTAATTTGTTATTGCTTATTTTTCACGAGGCGGGTGACAGAGAATAAGGAAAATATACTGATAATAATTATATGGGAAGGTAGAATAATGAGTAGGCGAGATTATAGTACTGGTATGGTTTATGTTACGTTCCAAACTTTATGATCACACAATCAATTACCCAAGCTGAATGTTAATCAATATGGCAAATCATAATTGCCTCTGTTATTCTGTTCCGGACAACGCATATACCGACGAATTAGTGTTACCGTTGTTTTTTTTTTAAAGACGTTCGAACTCTTTAAAATTCGAGCAGTTTGACTCGCATTAAAAAGAAACGGACTAAACTATATTAAACAAAAAAGCGGCATAAGAATACTTAAAAGGGAAACCGTCTGATATTTCTATTGATAATATTTCCTCAAGAACTATACTTGTGATGTTTGATATCAATACAAATATCTTGGGAGTAGCTATAGCTGTTTGATGCCTAAATATAACTGAAGTCAGTGAACATGTAGTATAAGGTAAGATATTCATCTTTCATGTAAGCCTATGAAGGGAATAAAAGCCGTGATAAGCAATTTGCTGCGCTTATGTCATGAATGACAAGCATGATATGAATGGGAATTATTTTTGTCGAGGCCCGTCCGCTCTTCGCTCCGCTGATCCTGTCCAAGCAAGTATGTAAAACGCGCAAACTTTGTGCGATGGCTGGAGTACGAAATTGAGCAGCAGTCGGACAGATGACAGAACGCGTTTACACTCATTAGAATGTTACCCTTTTTTTAAATTTCTAAAATAATTTGTGGACATGATTGAACAGGGTGTGAGGAAATGAGTATTAGTCCCTGTGCATTCCAAAGATTGCAAACTTAATTTTAGAAGGGTTCAAAACGTCATCGAGCGTATTTTCTCTATTTTTATATGAAAAATTAAGCATTTATGATAATAAATCAACAGATAAGTCGTGAATCATACAATTTTCCTAAATGATTGCCTGACATATCAAGAGGGCCTACGCCAATGGCAACTTAAGCGCAACAATCTTCCAAGATATTTCCTGCATGGATGTGAACGAACCCTGACGATCATTACTCGGGGGATAATCTGGAGAGCATCAAATAAAAGTAATGTGAACGACGGTGATATGAGATTGTCTGAATTCTCCGGGATTTATTTGTGGTATATATCTCAATCGAAATGCAACCTATGGCGGGTATTTTTATTTTGACATAAGTTCATGGTAAAGATTACAAATTGAAGTGGAGATTAGAATTAGGGGTTGGGGCTTCATTTCCTTGCAACTACCGTGGGACTGGGAGACATATTTATTGGATATATTGAAGATGGAAGCTTTGGGTATAGACAAGCAAACAAACTATATTTTTTAAAATACGATAAAGACGGGATTGTAGGGAATAAATTCAGACCGTCAATGAAAGACAGGACTATGCAAAGAAGAAACGAGAAAGATAGGAGTAGAATGATAAAAAATGAACGAGTAACCCCCCCCCCCCCCCTCCTTTCTAGCTGCTTCATCTGTCTCGACTCCAATGAACTTACAGCTGTTAATTTCCTAATTCTGCATTTCCTAGCTTTGATAGTTACAAGCATCCAACTCTAAAAGATCAATTCATTCATTCATTCATTTTATTTCCAATTTTCGTAAAAATACATTCAGCAATTATTATGCATAATATGCAATGGCCGCAGATGATTATACAAAGTAGAGAGAAAAGAAAGAGTGTGTAGTACATGAACAAAGTATGGTATTTTAACGATGGAATATATAAATCATTAGCATGTCTTGTGTAATGTGGATGAACATATTATCAAAAATGGAAGGTAACATAATTATTGTACATATACATAAATAATTCAACTCGCAAGTCATGTATTTGAAATATGGTAAGTACATTTAATTTGCTAAACTGCGGTTCAGAGGGAGTTCTGGGGTGAGAGATTTTACTTCACGTAGTGCTCTTTTCTGTAAAACATAAACTTGATTCAGTAATGTTTTTGCATAATGTTCCCATATCAAAGTACAATACGACAGATGAGGAAGAATGAGAATCATTATTAATGTCGTTCCTAAGTCATCATGAAGGGTGGTGATCGACAAGTCAGGTGATTATACTGATTAGCATCATGAACTGACATAGCATGATAAAATCTGTTCTGTCGCGTCGTCACGTGACATCATCATCACCATCATCATCATCCTAACCATCACACCCATTATCGTCATCATCATCAGCATCATCACCACCACCAACAACATTATTATTCACCATCATCCTAACCATCACACCCATTATCCCGCCGCCGCACTAAAGTCCTTTGGCAAGACATTGATCTACACTTGCCACACTCCACCCAGGTGAAGTAAATGGGTACCTGGTATGAATTTATTCCTTGAAATGCTAGAGCGCCGTATGGCAGCCGTGCTAAAGCCAGGGTAATAATCGGGAGCGCCAGGAGGGTCAAATCTGACCGACATGAGCGCTATACAAGAACCCACTATTATTATTATCAAAATCATCATGAGCACCACCAAAAGATAATCATCACCATCATCATAATCCTAACCATCACACCCATCATCATCATCATCATCATCATCACCATCATCATCAGCACCATCATCAGCACCAACATTATTATTCACCATCATCATAATCCTAACCATCACATCCATTTTCATCATCATAATCATCATCACCACCAAAATCATCATGAGCACCACCAAAAGATAACAAATCATCACTAGCATCATCATTATCATCATCATCATCACCATCACCATTTGCTGGCTGACACGTGCACTGGGAGGGACCCGGCAGATCTAAGCTCTTACTTTTGCAAGATATTGGGAAATAGTTGTGTGATGACTTGAAATGATGATTACCATCATCATCATCATCATTCATCATCACCACCATCATCATCGATACTATAACACAGATGCATCTATAACAAACACCAACAAAATACAATTTTGTGAGCAACAAACGATTATTTTATTGGACTTTCTTCTCTGTTTTTCCTTAATTCTGACCATCAATGAGAAATAAAATATTGAACCGATTGCACTTCTTTTTTACACTAAAATGTATTTCATTTGGATTATAGTTCTCATCTAAATGGACTCCAGATAAAGAATACAGGTGAATTACATCTATATCAATATATACTATGCATGTGCACTGTTTATTTCATTAAGATGAGTTGTTGGGAGTATAATATGGGCCTTATCATGACTTAATTTCATCATTATAACTATTTATCACCAACGTGAAAATCATCACTTGTGTACAATATTGTAAAACTAAGTAAAAAGAAGTCTGGAGAAAATTCATGGTTGTCCCTTTTCTATTATCATTAAAACTATTCAATTAATATTTTTAGATTGGCAAGCAGCAAGCTTGAAAACAAAAGGTTTCATATTTTTATAGCTTGTATGCAAACCTTTCAATTACATAACATTACAAAATGCAGTAAGCTGACCGATCACAGATGGTGTATACAAAAATATAATCAAAATCTTCAACCATATACAAGTAAATCCACATCACAAAATGATATTTATAGTCATCAAATATACAGAAATAAAGCTCACATTTAAAGAAAAATATGAATTTTACACGTACCCATGTGTTCTAAGGTTGATTATCATCATGTTAAAAAAGAATGCTTGAAGAACAAACTCTTCATAGTGTTTGTCATCTAATTCATTACAATGAATATAAAATATTTTGATATTCAAAACTGGTGAACCCCCAAAAAGGGCAATATCTCAGGGCAATATCTCATGGCAATATCTCAGGGAAAAAACAAACAAACAAACAAAGACACATATTTTTGGTCCTATTCTGTATCCAGATAGCTCAACTATAGAGACCAATTTGAGGCAGGATTTAGATTTTTGAATTTCAAGTGAAAACTATTCAAACATTTGTGTGAAGGCAATTCAGAATACTAATAATGCAGCATACATTTGCAAAGCATTCTATACATCACATAATTCCTACACATACTTCTTCAGGTTGAGAAGACCTCTGTTTTTTTTAGACTTTCAACAGATAAAACATTGAACATTTAAGGAATCAAAGTGATGCCCTGGTGGCCTGGTATTGAGCCTGCAACTCAATTGGATGCTAGTTACAAGAGACCCCGCCCCCCCCCCCAACTCAGTGTTCCCTCCTTTTGAAAACACCCCCTAAGTCCGGTGTGTAAAGTCAATACGGGCCGGATTTTTGTGTACTACGAGCCGGACTTTGGTGCGTGAAAAGTACCCCTTTACCGGACAAAAAAAAAAAAATATATGTCCTCTTTTTTAGGGCTTCAATACTACACCATATCACAGACACTGATAACCCGTAGGGCCATGCATCTCAGATTTAACAACGATGCCTTTAAGGCAAATCTTATAAACAGATGACCTAACTGAAAGGTGCAAAATTATGTAATTCTACACATCATGGTCATATTTGTATACAATCAACCGTCTACAAAGTGGCCTTTACAGATCGGTAAACGTAACAATCACATACCGGTAAATGGAAATTTGATCAAACAAATTTGAACACAGGGCACTTTAGTGCAAATACTTTACTATGACAGTGGCAGCTATGGTGTTAACAACTACTATTCTAATTCTCTTTCATACTCATCCCTTAACTGCATGTCTAGCTATGCTACCATCATACAGGTTTACCTCATAACCATTTAAAATGGTATTGTGTGCATATCATACACACACAAACAAATATTTCATTTCATACTCGGTTCAGCATTTGAATTCAAAGATCACATTCTCCCTGATCTTCTGGAATTCTAATCAATTATCAAAGTAAACCTTTTCTAAATTTTAAGATATCTTTACCTTCTACAATCTATTTTTGGCTTTTATCTCTAAAAATATATATATACTAATAATATATTACTTTTAATACTTTTAATACAATTACTTGTAATACTTCTCTTACAGAATTGGTACATTAGAAATTCTCTCAAAGAAAGAAATCTTGCACAGCTATCATGTAATAATAATATTAATAACAATAATCAATTCTTTTATAGCACATATCACATTTTAATACAATACTATCAATGGTAACTGCACTTCAAAAGGACTTTGAAAATTATTATCTGGCTTTAGCTCTTACAACTATAGAGCTAAAGTCCTGCCAGGAAGCCACTTACATGTACTACTCCTGAAGTGACTGTGGCAACTGTTAATCTACTACTTACACTAAAATTATGATAAAAAACCTTATGCTTATATCACTCTAAAAATATCTCATTCAATTTGATAAATTTATCTTTCTCTGTTTTCTTTTCATAAAGAACTTCTCTCTCTTTGATTATCTGGCTGCCATCTTGTGACATCACTGTCCACTCACGGTCTGAGGAATGATAGATGCTGGAATCATTGAGAAGATGTGCTCATTGTTTCATCATCACTGAAATCAAGAATCTGCAATGGGAGGAGAACATTAACACAAAAAGTCACGTCACCATGTGAATCTAATATATCTCATATTTTATCAAGGAATAAAGATGACTTGATGATCATATAATAATTCTTTTTAAAGTGTGAAAACATAAACAGTGCTTGAAATTAATATCTAAAGACATTCATACAACATAGGAATTCTGTGGCAAATATTTCTGAAAGTACAGAAATCTTCATGTTTATGATAATATTTGATTTTCCATAGCATAACTGGTATACTGCAGAACTGGAACCGTTCTCATATTTGAGAACCACAAAGACATGGGCTCTTTTGCTATAAGGCATCTATACATCAGGACACACTCATTGTAGCATGATCAATCTGCAAAACAGAAACTACTTCCACCCACAACTTTGCTCTTAATATGCAATGCCTCACATAGCAACAGTATATCATTCCATGGAAATTTGTTTCTTCGCTGAGTGCCTATTGAGTGTACAAATTTTAGGAGATGATCCAACATTTGTTCAGGTGACAATTCCTGCCAACTATATAACCATATATAGATATATAGATAACCACCCCCAGTCAATCCCCCCCCCCCAGGAAAACTAACCCCTAGGGCAACCACTCTCTAGGACGACTACCCCCTGGGACAACTACCCCCCGGACAACTACCTCCCAGTAAACTACCCCCTACGACAACTACCCCCAGACAACTACCCCCTACGACAACCATCCTCTAGGACAACTACCACCGGACAACTATCATAGGGGTTAGTTGTCCGGGAGTAGTTGTCCTAGGGGTTAGTTGTCCTAGGGGGTAGTTGTCCCGGGGGGGGGGGGGGGGGTAGTTGTCATAGAGGGTGGTTGCCCTAGGGGGTGGTTGCCCTAGGGGGTAGTTGACTGGGGGTGGTTATCCGGGTGTGGATGTCCAGGGGGTAGGTGTCCTAGAACTGGTCAAACCGTATCATCTTACCTCTATCAGCTCACTCTCCAGGTGCAGCTGACTGAGCCCCGTCAAATCTTCTACAAACCGTGGCTTATTGAACACCTTGAGCAGGAAGTCAAACCCTTCTCTCTCGTAGCTAGCCAAGACAATATCACAGCATGCTGTACACTTATCAAAGCACAGGCTAGCAGGGAGGACGCAGTGATAGCGGGCTAGGAATCCTCGAATCTATAAAACACATTGGAGGAAAAGGATTCTTTACAAAATATATGTAATGAAATATGAAGGAAAAAAAATCCAAAATGTAGTAGGACAATCAATGACAGTTATTAGAGTATCTCCTATATATGTACACCATTTGTTGTTGTTGTTGTAATGATGATATGATTTATAGAAGTGGTGTTTAGAGTGAACTTGAACTTCATAAGAGAAGGTTTGCATGAGCAATGTAGATACAGCATGTAATTTATTGAGACCCACATTACCATCTGGACTACTTTTAGCCTAGGATAAATACAGGTCTTTGATGTCTTACGACGTAAAGAGATACAAGGCCATATATTTCAGTCTCGGTCAACGCAGATCATCAATGCCTTATGAAATTAGTTACTGACAGGTCTATTATCATTACCCCGGCTGTAGCTGAGCCACTATAATAAGGTGACAAAGCACTCAAGGAATTTCTTCCTACTGGGTATCCATTTACTTCACCTGGGTTGAGAGTGGCAAATGTAGATTAATATCTTGCCAAATGACGTTCAAAACCTAGAGGTGACAATCACCAATACAATTTAATCAGGATTCAGTTTATCATTCCTTACCTGATGAGGTACAAGACCTAATGGTGATGTGAGATCAACCGTAAGATGAGAGTCCTTGGCACTGGTCTCTGCTGATGCATAGGCTCTGAATAAAAGAGAGAGTTTTCAGTATGATTTGCATAATTTGATCAAATAGTCGTAAGTTTCATGGTAATAAATGAATACCGTATTTGCCGGCGTAAAGGCCGCACCCCCGCATAGGCCGCACCCCCGATTTTGACATTTAAAAAATAAAAAAAATAAAAAATAAAAAATCGTTTTTGTTTTTTGTTTTGTTGTTGTTCTTTTGCTGCCGAAAACCCACGCGTGGAAGGACCTTTATTTAACATCGAGGTGCAGTTAAAGGCGCTGATTTGTGCTTGTAAACTTGTCACAAATAATAGTAACAATGTCGTTTTTAGAAGAATGTGTAAGATCATTAATGTGAATTAAAAACAATAAAGTACCTATGGTACCACTGGTGTACCTTGTGGTACACCATTTGTTATAGAAAAAAATTTGAGGAACTATTATTATAAACTACATATTGAGATCTATTAGAAAGATTACTTTCAAACCAAGATGACAGTCAAATTTTAGTGTTGTTGTAGTTTCCGAGTGGTGAGTCAACACACTGATTACTGAGCTGGGAGACATTGCCAGGCATAGCGCCATAAATCGAAACTAAAAAAAAAAAAAAAAAAAAAAAAAAAAAAAAAAAAAAAAAAAATTACTCTTTCGCCGCATAGGCCGCACCCCGACTTTTTGATATTTTCTCTTCCAAAAATACTGCGGCCTATACGCCGGCAAATACGGTATTCACATTTAAAGAGTTGAAATTAGATTACCATGCACAAGTATAAAGACCCTCCCCCCCCAAAAGCAGTTTAGTTTTGAATTCTATGCCAAGGTTGGTAGATCAAATCTTCATTGTACATCATAAAAAAAAAATTGTATATTTTTATTGGTGTATAAGTTGTTTAACCCTATATAGCCCGGGCTATTTTGAAACTGCATAACCCGGGGGGGGGGGGGCTTCCAAGGCCCCCCCCCCTATGACCTTAGCTATTTATGGACCGATTTTGTCCAAACTTGGCGTGTTTGTGTCTTATCATGTACTAGTCAAGAATGCTTAGTAAAATTTATTCTATATATCGTTAATTTTTATTTATGTCTAATCAATGATGCAAATATGCAAATTTTTCCAATGAATTCTCATTTTGTCCAGTTGCCCCCCTTTTTATGGAGAAAATGCAATTAAATTTGGCATGGTTGTAGCTTGACATATAATTTAAAAGATAGGGTAGTCAAATGAATGACATGTATTGAAATTCCATACTTATAATTGTTATTAATTACGAAAATATGCTAATTTTTCTTGAAATTCTAATTTCTTATGTATTTCTTTGTTTTTAAATCTTTTGTTTTTCATTGTTTTGTTATCTAGAATAGTTCATGATGGCCAAAAGGGATGTTATCTGAAGAAAAACAGAAAATAACATTCTTCTAACAACACTTCTTGTAAAACCCATACATTGTACACACAAGATCATTGGAAACCATTTTTGTGTGACATTGGTCACGAATATGTGCTACATCTCCAATACCATACCCCGATTTTCGCAAATAGGGTCTTAAAATATGCGGGAGATGTCAAAGAAAAAACTCATAAAATTTCAGCGCCAGATTTTATTGCGTTAAAAAGTAATCGCACAAAATGTATAGGGGGGGCTTCTAAAGCCCCGGGCTATATAGGGTTAAATGAGGCATACCGGTACAATGTTTGTCAAAACTTTGTATCAAGGGCATCATTTGCGGTGCATAGAATGGCAAGTTCTAATCACTCCTTAAACTTGATCAGACAGCTAATAGTTGAGTCTGCCCATAGATTTTGTACATGAACATGTGAGCTCTATTGAAAAACAATTGCTTGTCCTAGTAATGCAGTGAAACCTGTATATAAAGACCACTCCAGGGAAACATGAAAAGTGGTCTTTATAGGCAAGAGGGCTTTATGTACAGGTTCCTTTAGTGCAGGTTTCAATGAGAAACCATATTCAAGGAAAGAAAAAAAAAAGTGGTTTTTCTATACAGGTGGTCACTAAAGCAGGTTCGACTGTACCTCCAATCCACTATGAGCTGATGTAACTTACCCCTGGGAATGCTGTAGAATGCTGACCATGAGTTCAACCACCAGAGCTGCGGCCACCATGGACAGGCCCGGTCTGGACACTGTACACTGCTGGTCTAACGTCCGGTCTCGGGTTGACTGGTCAAGAAAGATTATGAGTTTGGATCATCATGGGTCATTGGTAAGGATAGGGCAATGGTAAAATGACGAAATGAAAACAGCAGGTTCACAAAGGGGTAGACCAAAGATATATATTAAATCTTACTAACCAAAGGCAGCAATCGTACAAGGCATAAGATGAAAAGGATTATGCTGTCTATTTCACAGTTTTTGTTTGCATGAAGCAACTGGAACTCTAGGAATACCACCTAACATTGAATGCAGTCTTGAAGTCTTGATCACTGTATTTATATAGAATAAACAAATAAATTTTATGACAAAAATACATTCAATGAAGTCACACATCAATGAATACAAGAAGGCAATGAAAGTTGTCATGTAATTTAGAAGAGGGGGGGGGGGGGGGGTCAATGAATATGATTTGACTACTCACATCACCAGGGGCAACAACATCGTTGCAGAAATAGCATCCAAGCTTATCTCCTGGAATATGAGAGAGACTGATGGAGGAGGTTGAGCATGATGCTGCTGCTGCTCCTCCTACTGCTCCTCCTGCTGCTTCAGATGATGAGGAGGAGGATGGTGTTTGGTCTGGTGGCGGCTGGTCTCGTGCTGGTTTCATTCCATGGCGTAGCACCAAGTAGGTATCGAATCCCAATGCTGCATTCATTACGATCTAAGAAAGGAAGCGTTCATTTGATCCCCAAAGAGATGAATGATAAAGATGGATTGTTAGAGATTCATAGATAAATAATAATAATAATAATAATATCAGATATTTATATAGTGTACATATCCACCATGCAAGGTGCTCGAGGGGCTCCAATATTACCCGGCTCTGCTAATAAGCAATTATTATTTAATTGTTAGGTTTATTGAAATCACTTTATCTAAAATATCTTCCCTATAAAGTATGACAGCGTCTCCTAATTGATATCATGATGTAAGGTACATCCTCTTCTACAAGTTCATGTAATTGGTTCATGTCTCCCATTCTTGGGATTTGTGAAAATCTTATAATCATGGTCAAGATAAAAAAGAATGTTAAACTTAATCAAACAAACATAAATTTGAAGTTATGGTTAGAGTACATTTTATTGCAGTTTCCTAATAAATATCGATAATCTTTGATTTGAAAACAATCTACCAGCCCATCATTCGTGTGGTTTCCTAAAAAAAAAAAAAAAAAGAACTGTCACAAGAATGAAAAGAACTTGAAGTCAAAGTACCTTCCTCTTACTGCTGCAGATGACGGTAGGAAGCCATCTGCTTTCTCGTGTGTCCATTAAAAGGAAGACCACATCATGCTCATCAATCAGCTCTTCCAGTTTCTGAACAGACTCCCTAGTTTGTTGTATAGCTTCATCTGTAATGAGAAATAGGACATGATTAATTTGATGATTCAAAACCAAAATTAAAGTCTTTCTTGTTCATTATTTTGATAAAAAACTTAATTGATACACTTGTTGGTGTTGCCTTTGAACACATTCTTCTCTAAATACTGATATTGAAATTGTTTAAACAATGAAACATATTCCAGACAGAAACATCTGACAAACACTGCTAAAAAAAGAATGGTGGCTAACATTAAAAAGGACAGTACATTTTGTGAGACAAATCTTACCTACATGCAAAACAATAAATCTGTTTTATTCACTAAGAGAAAAGTTTGTCCTGCAATTTTCAAGTTGACTTTTTGATGAACATGGCATAAAATGTGCATTAAAAAAAATACTAATTTTAATAATTTCTGCTTTAACACATACCTGATGTGCCTACTGCATGTCCTGGCATTGGAATAGACAGACTCACTCCTCTTGTTTTCTGAAAATTTCAAATTAACAAAAATGGATACAAAGTTAATAGCACAAGGCAGAAAATGATAAGAAAATTTAAGAAATAATTTAACTCACAGACAAACAAACAAACACAGGAAAAAGAAAGAAGGAACGAAAGAAAGAATAAAAGAAAGGAACTATACACAAAACATGCTCATGATTTCTTAACAGATTATGGTAAAATAATGACAAATCTGAGGACTATATGAGCAAAAAGCCATTTGAACTGCATACAATTTGCTTTTTTTAAAACCTCTTCAATGTTACCTTTCAGCCTATGAAGACATGACATGGGTGACTAATCCACATTTGCCACTCTCCACCCAGGTGTAAAAAGATACGTTATGCCAAAGCTCAACATATTTGGCCGCTGGCTATGATGGGGGTAACAATGTTGGAGCGCTAGGAGCCCTCATGCCTTGACTTACATGTCTCATTATTGTAAGTCACCAATAATGGGGGAAAACGCCTCCAGGCAACAGTGTTGCATTTCACTTTTTGCACCCTAACCCATCTACTGCGCCAACTCCTTTTGTTCTTTCATATTCTCATAATGTTTTTGTATTTTGCCATTGTTTTGTAGCTGTGCTTTTTATGATTGGTCCCCCCCCAAAAAAAAAAAAATATATATATATACGGTATACATCTTCTTCTTGATAATCTGCCTCCTTCAATACTGAAGATTCTTGCAGATGCTCCATATACTCGGCCTGATTGGGGTGTGCAGGTGGACCATTACATCAGGGTTCCCCCCTACTCTTATAAGAATAGTGCAGTGGGTTCTTAAGGTACAGAGGTGGTGACTCTCCTCTACACAGGGCCTCCATTTAACATTCTATCCAAGGAACGGATAATTATTCTTGATGACATCATAGATTTAGACTACTTACTACTCCTGGAAAGATCTTTTCTATCTTCTCGGCTGCAGTTTGAGCCTTGGGTTTCCCGCCTCCCAGAGAGTCTTCAAACTCAAAGAGACTCTGTCTGACAGGGTTGGAGAAGGACACTGTAGAGTTATCAACAAAGGTGATAGTACGAACACCCCATCCCTGTAACATAAACACAGAGTAGTTATAAGAACATAAACTCAAAGAGACACTGTCTGACAGGGTTGGAGAAGGACACTGTAGAGTTGTCCACAAAGGTGATGGTACGAACACCCCATCCCTGTAACATAAATACAGAGTAGTTATAAGAACATAAACTCAAAGAGACACTGTCTGACAGGGTTGGAGAAGGACACTGTAGAGTTGTCCACAAAGGTGATGGTACGAACACCCCATCCCTGTAACATAAATACAGAGTAGTTATAAGAACATAAACTAAAAGAGACTCTGTTTGACAGAATTGGACACTGTAATGGTACGAACACCCCATCCCTATGACATAAAAACAGAGTAGTTATAAGAACATAAACTCAAATACCTCCAACTCTATAAATTCAACCACATACCCATAAGTGGACAGACAGAACTGAGCATGTATACATTATTCAGTCATGCCACATGCTAAAATGTATTATGAAGTCATAGCTATAAATCAAAACCCATGTAGCTATATTACATTAATACAATGATCATAAAATCTTAGATGTGGTCAGTAACATGGAACAAAATCGTTTGGAGTTGCCCAACTATAAACAAATTTTAATCTTGAGGTTCAAGACTATGCATATGTAGCCAAAACTTAGCAGAACATATATGTCATTAAATTAACAAAATTTGATAGTGGTGGGGTTAAAAGAAGTGGATTAACGCCAAAATGTCTAAATTCTACTTACCAGTAAGCATCTAGCCACATTGCATCCTAGAGTACCGGAGCCGAGCAGAAGACATCTTGTCTGGGAGATCTTATCCAAGTCTAGTGAGGGCAGCAGACGCCATCTCATGAGCTTGAGATTCAGATCTACCGACGTCTCTGCTAGTCTGTGGGACAAAATCAAACAGTCAGTAGTTAAGTGTAATTAACACCTTTATTCATTACTTTCATACTCGGCAGACTACTTGATAATGAGTTCCGATGGGCATTGCACTCCTTTAGATTCAAGAAGTATTCTGATTTGGGGGAATGCACGGTTCTTGTATTACAAATGATGTATTAATGCAAGTATATGAACTTGCAGCAAAAATTCATGACTTACTTCCTAGAAAAACACAAACAAAACTCTCTCTTGGCAATTTCAGATTGGATATCATCTGCCAAGGAGTAGATTACTTGCATAGATTAATATGCTATCGATGTTGACATTGTAACAATGACCTCGCTGTGAGCTATGCTATATAGTAATAATAATAATAACAATATAGAAGATATAGGAACGTAAAAAAACACAAAAAGCACCATAGCGCTTACAAGTACAAATATATGAAAAGAGGACAAAAGTTTACAGTCTCACAGGAAGTAGATCACTTAGGAAAAAGGTAGGTTCTGGGGGATTTTTTGAAGGTGGCAAGGTGGTAATTTCTCTTTTGGAAAGGGGGATGTTGTTCCAAGTCTTTGATGCGGCTACTGCAAAATGTTTTCAGCTGCTGAGAGTCTAGATTTGGGAATGATAAGTTTACATGTGTCGGTTGTTGAGTAAATGGTGTATATATTTGGAGGGTGTCATTCTACCCGACTGGTCACAATCTGTATTCTACCCAAAGAGATATAGTTAAAATTTTAAAAAAAAGAGATATAAATTTGATTTTTATAGAAAGACTTTTACCTTAGAACTTTTTAATGTAAAATTGTTTTCTGTTGGATATGTGATCAATTTTTGTATGCATGTAGTTTCAACATTATCCACCATAGTAAAGAAACTAACCTTGTAGGGTCCATGCTAGAGCTGAGGTCCACTTTCCTGGCACCAAGTTTATTCCTCTGATTCTTCTCCCATCCAACACATTTAGGACAAGCTGTCGGATGAAGAGTATTTACAAAATGCATTATAATAATAATAATAATAATAATATTTCGCTTTTTATTTAGCACTTAATACATCTATGATGTCTCTAAGGGCTTTACATATATACTATTACCCCGGTCATTGGATTCAATACTTTCCCACACACACTGTGTGCACAATCAGAAGTCTATCAAGAAGTATCGTTAACACACTATCAGGATCAGCATCATGAATATGAATTAGAACATAGATAACAATATAGTCTCAATGCAAATATGTTAAAAATTCAATATTTGTATACAAAATAGAATGTGTCACGTCTGATATTTACAGAAAAAGAATCCCATGCAAGTCAAGAACAGTAAAGATAAGGACATGGAAAATGATATATAGATGTGATTGTCATAATGTTATTAGGCTTATGGCTGAGTGGTAGAGCAGTGGTTGCGTAACCATGAGGTCCCAGGTTCCAAATCAATTTGATGTGCTAATGCCCTTTGGTGAGGACTTAAAACATCAGTCCCCTGCTTGCTTACTTACAAGCATTACACATGCTTTATTAGCAGTCAGGTAATACAAACAAACCTACCAACTTTCAAACCAACTAACAAACTATAAGGTGAAGCGTACAAAATACTGTACCTACATAAAAGGTTTTCCCACTCAGTCCTAATCTTCATGATCTTTGATAGCTCCTGCCATTTTAAACCAAATATCAAGGATCATCACCTAGTATTGGGTTTGAGCTGCAAATGCTTGTTACAACCTAGTTTGACTCACATATTTCAGGACTTGTTGAAGGGACTTGTAGTCTGAGGATCAAACTATGGGAACTGTTCCTGATTCCTTCTCTAGTCCTGTTCCTGAAACAAACCACTGTCACTTGGTCCAGCTGAGAAGCCCTGAAATGAGACCAAAAATAATTCAAATGAATCTTTCCTTTCATACCAACTCCTTTTATCTACATAACACTAACATCACCAGTGTTTAACCTCAGGTAATCATCCCATCAAAGTACTTCAAAGATACATAATTACTGTTTCACAATGATGAGGTTCATACACCCATCCTTGGTGAACTATGCATATCCCTTGTCTCAGCTCACTTGAAGTAAACAAATAGTAAAAAGCCAATTATTGTCACAAAAGTGATGGTACAGCTTGATCTTGATCATTCAAACTTGATTGTCTGTAACTATAATATAATAATACTAGCAGGACCCGCGGAAATCCGCGGGATTCTAGAGGGGGGCGGGGGGTGTAAAAAGATATATAGAGACTGCCTAAATTAAAACCACCAAGAACTTTATTTGCCATTCAGGCCATTATAAAAATAAACATGTTTAGCGTCCCCGCCCGCTTCCTTTTTGGGGGCCGCCTCCTATTTTTTTTTTTTGAAATTTTTTTGAATTTTTTTTGAATTTTTTTTTTTTTTTTTTTGAAAGAAAAAAAAAACAGCGTCCCCGCCTGCTTCCTTTTTGGGGGCCGCCTCCTATTTTTTTTTTTTTTATTATTTTTTTTTTATTTTTTTAAAAAAAATTTAAATTTTTTTTGGAATTGTTTATTTTTTTTTTTATTTTTTTATTTTTTGAAAGAAAAAGAAACAGCGTCCCCGCCTGCTTCCTTTTTGGGGGCCGCCTCCTATTTTTATTTTTAAAATTTTTTTTTTTTCATTTTTATTTTTTTATTTTTTGAAAGAAAAAAAACATGAAAAGCACTGCTAAAATGTATTTCTGATTTTAAAAAAGAAAAAAAAAAATTGTCGGCCGCCATCTTGAAAAATGGCCAGAGTGTCAGGGAAAATGTACGGAGCGGCCATTTTGAAAGAAAAAAAAAAAAAAAAAAGGGCCTCCTCCTTCCCATTTTTCAAAAAAAAACAGGACGCTAAACATGTTTTTTTTTTAATTTGGCCTTATATAAAAAAAAAAAAACGATCCAACTGTACCTGTAGTTATTCTATAAGCCACTGGAACTGCGTAAGTTCCGTAGTGTGGCGTACCGACTACGCAGAAATTAGGCTGCGTATTAATGGGAAAATAGTCCCTGCGTAGGTTATGCGTAGGCTGGCGTACAGGTTTGCTTATGGTTGCTTACTGTGTAGAAAGCTTTTACTGCTTTGACGATCTGGCGTAGGGTAGCGTACTGTTGCGTAGTCAAGTAGCGTAGTGTTGCGTAAAAAGGCGTACTTTCTGCGTCAAGTTTCTACGCCGAAACTACGCGAAAAAAATTAGACATGTTGAATTGTTTTCGTTCATCTTGCGTACCTCTTTCCGTCCCTCAGCATATAGTAATGTAGGCCAGCGTAGTTGGTACGCAACACTACGCAACTCTACGTATTGACCCCACGCCAATTAGTGACCCGCAAGTGTCACAAATAAAGTATTAAAAATATGCTCATCTGACCCTATACGCCTAAAACCCCCGAGCTTTCGGGGGTTTATGGCCCCTTGAAACCCGTGGACCCCACGCCTATATTATATATACACTCAACTCGCTGCGATCTGATCTCTCCCCCCCCCCCCCCCCCCCAACTTTGAAAAACGTAACCCCCGAGCTTTTGGGGGTTTATGGCCCCTTGAAACCCGTGGACCCCACGCCTATGTTATATATACACTCAACTCAGGACCCGCGGAAATCCGCGGGATTCTAGAGGGGGTGCGCAGGCAAAAAATTAAGTTTTTCATTTCGGGGGCTCCATTTCAAATTTTAGGGAAATTTTCGGGGGCTCTTTTTTCTGGGGCTACTTTTTCATTAATTCATATAGATTCTAAGGATAGGCCTACACTTTGTTGAGATTTGTTTAGTAGGCTATTAGGTTTCAGGCTTCCTACTTCATAATTGCCTATTTAAAAAAAAACAACATTTTTCTAGTTCAATAACTAAGTTTTCATGCATTGATTTGATGCAAGAACTGTAACATAATAGACCCTAGATTGTGATTATTTCTGACCATGAATTTCGATAATCATTTTTCAAAGTAAAATTTTCACAGGAAAATCAAACAGTCTTTTAAAAACGTAGACATTAGAGTCTAGTAATACTTTTACTAATTCTAAGCTCAGGTTTCGTAAATCTATTCACGAAACTATATTGAAATCGCGGCAATAATGATGCAAACCAACAGATAACAATTTCAAAGTGTCAAATCTCTTCGACTCGAATTCAACTCACACACTTTCAACTGCAACTCAGCTCATCTCACACACACTACACAGTGGCAATGCACTGTCAGTTACGGTGATTTTGTCTGATTTTCTTTACTTTGAAGAAATGATTATCAAAATTACGTAAACATGGCGAGAACATCACAAAATAGGCTTTAATTTCATACCTCTATTTATGGAAACTTTATAATATTGCAGCAATCGTGAATTCGTGATGGAAATTGATTGCAGTTTCGCGATGTTTAGTGGTTCATGGTCTAGATTCAGCTTCTACCGAAACAAAATCGACCGCCAAAAACTCGAGCCCTACGCTCCGTCTCGATCTCGCAACTGCGAAAATGTACGTGTTTTGGCGTACTTGCGTGCGACATGCGAATATGGTTCGAGTTTTTTTTACGACCGATTTTTGTATATACAATTTTATACGGATAGTCATCGGTCGTGTGTCTACGGATGTCATGTTGAATATCCATGAGGTATCTCTGTCGTCACGCATATCCTGCATTATGCATGTCGCGTCTGTTTTCGCCCTGGACGTCGACACGGAGGAGGACCTCGGGCGGAGTATAGCCAATTCCACAGAGTAGACTCTCCCGCGGACGATGGCACCGGGCACGGGTACCCCGAGGGGAGGGTTCAGGAGGAGATAGCCGCACCAACTTGGGTCGGCGATCTCATTAAAAAACAATAGAATACAAAGGCTCGCCGAGACGTCGCGCCCCCCGCGGAGCCTTAGCGTATTATTATTATAGATTCTGCTTTCATATCGCGCTTAATACATCTATGATGTATCTAAGCGCTTTACATATATACTATTACCCTAGATATTGGATTCAATACTTGCCCGCACACACTGTCTGCACAATATCTACTCCCTGGGGAGCATTCCAGCCAGGCGTTACTTGACGCTCAAAAAACTGTTTGACCAACAATGACGGTCGCATCCTACCAGGTACCCATTTAACACCTGGGTGAAGAGTAGCAAGTGCAGGTTAATATCTTGCCAAAGGATATTAGTCCCGTGTCGGGAATGATTGTGACTGTCATCTTCACATGGATCACTCTGTCCTTATACATATAACCCAAAACAAATCAAAATACCGTCAATCTCTGTGTATAAGACGCACTTTTTTGCCACCGGAGATTTACCGTGAGACAAAATCAAAACATGCACCCAGTAGATAAAGATTGTGTGCTCGATCATGTAATTGAAACACGTCAGAAAAATCTTGACATCGGAGCAAACAAGATCGAGCACGCAATCTTCATCTACTGGGTGCAAGCCAAAAATCTATGCTTCTCCAAGAAAGCCTAACGTTCAAAATCAAAACAACAACCACATATGACAAATATTCTGTTTTCTTACCAGTGGCAGGAGATGAGACAAAGGAAGTTCCTCAGAGGCCATCCTGGATACTGCTCTAAGGTACAGGGATCAGCATAACCAAACATTACCTGTAAAGAAAACCACAATTGACACATCATCGGTTACAAACAAGATAAACTATCACCCAGAAAGATATATTTTAAATCTAGACAATATGTATATCCAGTATTCCCTCATCATGAAGAACACTGTAATAACACTTGTTTATTATAACCAAGTATTTAACTGGTAATTCTTCTCTGTATCCTCTTGTTTTTAGTCCTGATATAACAAGATTTTGATACAAAAAAGTAATTTCCTTGGTCCCAAGGAGTTTGTTGTAATGAAGAAATGTAAAAAGGGTCTATACAATGCAAACTTTATCATTTCAATGTTCATGGAACTGGATCTAAAGCTTCAAACAGGAAGATATCAACATGTTGAACCAGTCTGAATTGGAAACTGATATTATCTGCTATGTGATTGCAAAAACTCAGTTTCATTTAAACATGGATTATCATATCCTTAGAGCAATACTTCATTGACAAGAGGGGGGGGGGGGGGGGGGGGCATTTCACAAAGTCTTTTTTTCAATGACAAATGACAAAAATCAATGACAAATCTGCTGATAACCAATCAGAAGCAGGGATTTCAGTAGCTTATAATAAAAACGTTCATTCGTCACTGATGACAAGTTTTGTGAAACCGGGCACTGTACCTTAGATTTATCTGTGACCTGGTCCCACGCTGTCAGGGGTAGCACCACTGTTTTGTCATCCTCTGTGGATATGAGAAAGAATGCTGGTTCTTGACCCAATGACTGTGAAGCTAAATCATAAGCTGCTTGAAGGGCTGTTATCTGAAAGATACAAGATCATATCGTCATGGCAATGGTTTAGTTTATGGAGAGAAAAGACCAAACAATATCACACAAGCATGACAAAAGTATACAAAAATATGAAATTCCTAATAACATGTGGTGTGTCATCTCAACATTCAAGATTTTTTTTCTTATTTTTCTTATTTTATTGATGCCAATTTGGAATGAAGGGCTTGCTCCCAAGTCAATAAAAGACCTATCAAACCCTCTAGTTTGTTACAGATTAATCTTTTCTTGATCCATAACTTATCGAATCTATCAGGAGGCTGAATGAGTTTAGTTCCTTTGAGGGAATGTGAGCTTAAGGAGGTAAACCAAATGTTCTTCATAACATACCTAGAATCCTATTTAAAAGTAAAGACCAGTAGTGGTAAAATTGCGTTTCAAGGGTTTCGGGTGCAAAATATCCATTCAATATTGTTTAAATATTGCCTTCAGAGGTTTAAATGGCAATACTTCAACCTAAATTCGCAAAAAACAGAAATATATGCCCAAATGTTAAATGTTGAAGTGCATTCGCGATATCTATCAAGGTAATTTACAAATATATCAACTAGTAGTCGGTTTCCCGGCAAAATTTGTATCATCAAGTACTAGTCCAACTATATTCTTTTACATGATTGGTAATAAGAGCTTCCATTTCTTTTTTGAGAGGGGGTGTTTCAAAAACTGGTCTATACCTTTAAGATTGTTAAACCTTTGGAGACCTAGGAAAGCACATTAGTGATTCTTCTTAAAAGTACTGAAGAGTAATACTCAATGGTTCTTAACAGAAAAAAGCATTCTGAGAATTCTGTCATAGACTAACCTTGTCTTGATCCATAGCCTTATCTAACTTTTCTGGAGGCTGAATGAGCTTAGTTCCTTCTGGTGCCAGGAGAGCTGGGAAGGCAAACCAGTAGCAATAGTGGTACTTCTTCAAGTCCTGGTAAAAGAACATGGGAAATTTAGATTCGGAATGAAACAGATGACATACATTGTTTTTAAAAAAGGTCATATTTCTAGCACAATCAAATAAGAGTTTGCAAAAAATGATGCAATATTACATGAACACAGCCCATTGATCTCAGAAGTTCATGCTTTGAGCTCATTAACCCTTTCAAAAACACTGGTTGTACCCTTAATATTTTGCATATAACATCTCACACTTGACTGTTAATGACATGTTGTTCTGGGATTGTCCACCATTGTTTCCTTTGTTATTTTCACCAAGGTTTTATTCTTTGTCACATACATGTATCTTGCTTAGAACAATTGGACTTGGTATCATAGGACTTATTGGACAGGGTGAAATTATCAGCAGATCAAAACCTTGCTCGACCTCAATTTATTCAGAGAAGTAAAAACTCATACTGCCCCTTTAAATAAGCATAAAAGATCATGATAAAAAGTAAAAAGTCAGAGTAAATAAAAGAAGACATAAAGGTTTGTGTTTGCATGGCTAGCAGCAACATGGACTGATGTTTTAAGTACACTGATGTACTTTTCAGAACTCTTCATTTCCAGTCAGACTACGACTGCTGTCAGAGAATAAGAAAACCATTTACTCATCATCCCCCGATGACTACCATCATTCTGACAGCAGCATATATATTTTCAACAACTCATTCTGGTCGTATATCATTGCGATACAGTTACTGAACCCTTCACTTACAGCAAACGTCAGAAGCCGGAACCGAGACAGTAAGGATGGATCTTGAATAGCGCTGCCTTGCCTGATGTCATCCCATAGCTGCAATGTACAGAAAGATATAGATAGAATGGGAGAGAGAGGGAAAGGGAGAGAGGGAAAGAGGAAGAGAGGGAGAGAAAGAGAGAGAGCGGAGACAGAAGGAGAGAGAGAGAGAGAGAGAACGAGAGAGAGAGAGGGAGAGAGAGTGCGAGCCAGAGAGAGAGAGAGAGAGAGAGATAGAGAGCAAGAGAGAGAAAGAAAAAGAAACAACTTGAATTCACATGACTTACCTAAAAATAATAACCATCACCGGTACTTAATAATGGTCTTATACATCAGTGTCAATAATACAAGAGAATGACATAGAAACTGAAACTTCAGTAATCTAAAAGCTACATGTGTATCAAATCACCCCTAACTGTAGCACTGTACCTGTATTTAGTTACATATCTTCTTACATTGTCCAATTTATCTATTAAGTTATTAATTTCTTTAATTCATTAATGAGTAATTCTGTACAGTTCTAAGCATACAATATAGCTAAATTGAATTAGAATTTGAATCATCCTTCTTCATTTAAAAATAATGAAATTACAACAAATAAACCTCCTGATAGGACCATACAAGCAACATCTGCTTTGAAAGTGATTACTGTAAAAGCTGTTATTTTCGCGTGATTCATTTTTAAGCGCTAAGCGCTAAGCGACCCCAAAACATATTCGCTGGTTCTTAAATTCGCCTTGCACCAGTCCGTTCAGAACACGCATAAGAAGTCATGTTTATATTTTTGCAGGTTCTAAAATTCGCTGACACCAACTTTAGCGCGAAATCCATGAAAATTCATGTACCACAAATATTTTCTGCGTTTACAGTACCTGCTCAGCTGTCACATCAAGCAGTGCCTTTTTGTCACATGTTTTGAAAGCATCCAGCGTATTGAAGTTGACCAGTGTTCCTCTTGAAGAAAAACAGTGAGGTGGAGTTGTCTCTGACCTGAAATAAATCATGGTTTTAGCACGAGAGATAACCTGACACAACATTTGAAGCTCAACCATGCAAGTTTGGAAAATGCAAAGTATGAATAGAAGCTCTTAGTTGAGATTTATTTTGTCTTCTTGCTTTTAATTATCATGATTGCATCTCATTTTTTATACACAGTTATTGAAAGTTTTAATTGATCAGGAATTGTGTAATAACAAATTAATGACAATTTAAAAAAAAAAAAGGTTTGTTCAAGGAACCAATTAATCACTGAAATAAGGTCTAACATGTCCTTATATATATGCGAATACTAGGATTTAGAAATATGAATAGATTGATCATTCAACCTCCAAAGTACCATGTCATAATGCTTTTTCTCATCATGAAATTGTACTTACTGATCAAATGCATTGAATTCCAGAGAGAGTCTGCAAGGAAGCCCATCTGGATCACCTGTAAAAAAAGAAAAAAAGAAAATGTCAACATACCGGTAAGTCTATTTTCTGAAACCATATATGTCATTTAACTGAATTCAACAAGACATTTATAACTATAGTTAAAGATTTAAAATGGATAAGAAGCCATGTACCGGTATATTATGATAATTGTTTTGTAGAGACACTAGTGCTTTTCAAGAACGCTGTTGCTCAGAAACATGAAAATGGTGTATTCCACTGCTTTTTGTGGTTTCTTTTTTGAGTCATTTGATTTAAATGTCCACCGCCAGAACATGTGTCTATCAAAACCAGAAATCTGGATAGCATTAGAGAAGAGCACAATGAATCGTACTACTTTACACATAAATCAGAAAATGACCACTTTCTATCTTTCTTCTAACTACCGGTACTCAAAAATATTTACAAAGACATCCAAATGAGCCAGATATAAACGATCTTCATCCGTCTGATGTCTTGTAAATCAATGCAGTCAGCAATCAATGTTTCATTATGAATGTGTGTGTCCTGAATTAACCTTATAGTGATTAGTGATAATATAGTTCACTCAGTGTTTTTGACAATAAAGTCCAACTCCATGTTACATTGCTTTAAATGCCGCAAGACGGGTACGGGTAGGCCAATGATTTTGAGATGTATGCTATAATGACATGAACGACTGTCTAAATGATGCACATTCTTCCTCTTCCTTCTATTTTTTATCTTAAAAGGGCTATGCAGCCTATCACAAAGATATCTGTAGAAAGGTACACTAAACACTGGCTTTACACCCTACTCTTTGCGCAAAGTGTAGCCTTTTAATAATAATAATAATAATAATAGGCATTTGTATATAGCGCCGTCTATCTAGACAATGCTATTCCGAGGTGCACAAGAAAAATAGAAAGAATGAGAAAGTTTGGACGAGAAAGTTCAGATGAGTGTCATAGTGCATAGGGTGCGACTCTCTTATACATGGAGCCTCCAGTTAATATTCTAGTCCGAGGAACGGAGTGTTTTCCTCTGAACCCGAGACTGCATCAAGAACAGAGGGGAGGGGCGCACTTACACTGCCTCCTTACTCACCATTGTAGTAGTATCCATAGATGTCCTTTGGTCCATCATCCAGCTTGTATTCATTCAGCTTCTTCTGAGTAAGCTTGTGCCAGAACCCAACGTCAAGGGCACTACTGAATGGCGCAAACTGGAGTTGCTGCTGAGATGAATCTGTCTTCTCCTGAGAAGCCATCTTTGGAAATACCTGATTATCTGTTAATTACATATATGCAAACATTAAGTCAGAGATCATTAGACAGGAAAATAAGAGACCATAGACGTTGGCTGGTCAGATGTCTTCTACACTAAACATTGAATTAAGAAGCCAGGCCTGCCACAGGCACGACCAATTCTGGATTTCCAATTAAGCGCTTCAACAGGTTTAATTGTAAATTCAAACAAATTTTTCTACGTCGTACTTAATTTTGGGAAAGGCAATGGGATTTAAATATTCTTCTCTTATGAGTATGAGGAGATCATAGAAGTTGGGTATCAAGAAACATATTTCCCAGAGGCTAATTTTATTGTAAATGGAACTTCTACACCGTTTTGTTGTATAATATCATCACCAATCATCACTCCATGCAGCAAAGCACCTAGAGAGTCAAAGCTGATGCCTACTCAGTATTGACCTTTAGCGCTGCAAACGTGCCAATAGGCAGCAATTGCACACACAAATAGTCAATACACTCACAACACACAAATGCATGCAATAAACACGATGTGGCTTATTCGGCAAGTTTGACAGTAGACTTACAATTTGAATTGTTAAATTAATTTTTTTTTACACCGGTAAGTTGAAACGATTGTATTTTACTGCTATTTAGGTGTCATCAATTGTCACTAAAGTACCGTTTTTTAGTAAAATCAGTTGAGTTTTGTACAGTGGTGTTTGAAATGTTAAGAATCAATAGCACAGCTTTTAACACACAGCCAGGATCGTATTGCAGATATGTGTGCCAATCATCAATATTTTCCTTTATTATATTGTCTAGAAAGTAGAAAAAAGTGTGTGTAAACTTCTTCAAAATACCGTTTTAAATCAACTGTCCGAATACACAAGCTGTCCAGGCACACACGACATATGTCAGCTCAGAGTATAAGTTATTATAAGTAGATCCACTATTAGTATTAGAACAATCAAGATTCAAGGAAATCTGAAAATGTCATAACGTAGAAGCCGGTATGTGGGACCGTTCATAATTTTGTTCGCATTTTTTACCCATTTCCTGCAGCGGTTACTACGCCGTCGTGATCCTTAGCATTTCTTGAAATAAATCAAATGTATGATTATAATTCATAATTACCTAAAAGGTGTGAATGTCGTCCGAGAGAGGAGGCAAAATCACGGAGCTTGTTGCTTGTTGTTGGGGATAGACCTTGGTCCTTAATATCTTTATTAAAAGGGGGCGGAGCGGAAACTCATGACGACATCAGTGCATGCAGTGCATGCATGACAAGTGTACCGGTACGTAATCGGTTTATGTCTGAGTAAAAATTATGCACACTGATGTTATCTTGTTTATAAACAGGAAAGCACACATAATACAGAAATATGCTTTCGATTTGTGTCACATGTCATCACGGTAATTTGTTTCATTACCCCCCATCTCCAGTTAAGTTAAAACACTGAATACAAGTTTAAATTCCTCATCTTTAACCCCTCCTTTTCTTCCTTCTCAATATCATCCCTCTCATTCTTCTTCTTTTTTTTACTTGCTTTCTCTGTACGTCTGTTTATCTTTCACCTTTGTTTTTATTTGTCCCTTCCAAGATTGCACTACCTCATCTATCCACAATAATATCCACAATAAAATATCTACACATGATGAACTCCACAAAAATAAATGACAGGACCTTTTTCATGTGTATGTGCAAAGATGTATTTTAATAACTCTGTATATAATAATACCATGATTCAAAAAAAGCAAACCATCTTCCAGTTTCCTTGATCAAAAAAAGATTACATAATAGATCTCTACAAATTATTTTCTTTCAAAGAAAATTTCACAACTGAAGAAAAAAAAACATACAGCTGAACAAAACCTCTACATACATTTATACATGATTATAACAGGACTCAATGAGAGATTAAATGGCACAACAAAAAATTGACAAGTTGCCTCAAACATTTGTCATGTCACTGTAAGTCCTTTACCTCCAGACTTACTGGAAATCATTATGGGAGATTATTTGAGTCATCGTTTAAATAGCATGCAGGGTTGAAAATAGCATAATGTGCTGGAACAATGCATGCAATTGAACTACTACTTTTTTTTTGACATGGTTAGTGAAAAGAATGTTCTGGAATTCATAGAAGTATGATATATTTTCAAAGATATGGGAGCGGGATGAAACACAAAAACTAGTTTTCCTACTACATTAGATGTATGGTGTTCAATTCTTTACACCAAATGTATGAATCATAACATTAATATCCTGTTATTTCTAGATTTAATTTATTCAAAAAAATTCTTACTTCCTCCAGAAGTATTCTAACTCATATAGCCATTCTTTATTTAATCTTTTGACAATACCTTTCCATCATCAAAGTCAGGATTTACCCATGGACCTAATCAATACAAGTATTATTAAAAATGTATGAAGGGAGCACATTTGAGAGCAATTTCTCTCAAGTGCAAAGAGTTTTCCAAGATTCTTCACTTTGATAAGAAACAAAAAATACCATGACTAATCCCACGAGTATTGCTTTGTTTGTAACTGAATGACCATCATAACAACTCCTAAAAGGAAAATAACTACAGCTAAACAGATCTTTCAAAGTAAAGGGTTGGGATTACAAAAAAGACACATATCTTCATATCTTAAATTTCTTAGCATTACATTCCTTAGTCCAAATTGTTATTATGTAACATTGAGTTACTTATCACTGACTTACCAGTGAACTGCACTTACAAGATTCAAATTTGGCAATATGTCACCAGCAAGCAGTAATTTTTCCATTCAATCAACTTGCTTTTTTTTATCGACATGGAAAATTAAAATATAATTATGCTGAAGAATGTTTTATCAGTATATTCCAAAGAGGGAAGAGATGTCTCACCATATATCATACCTAAAATACTGTTTTAATGCTCATCACAGTATAATTTGTTGTTTCACTAAAACTGGAATTTTCATTCATCATTTTGCATACCAATCATCCAATTTGGAGGTCCTCACAAGAATGGAGCTATGGCCTGTATACACATCAATCAATTATCCATGCTACAATACATTTGTAAGAATAAACATGTTTAGATACGGGAAACAATATTTGAAAGCTACAATTGGTGAAGAAATACAGACAGTTCAATCATGGTATGCCTATTTTTATGAGAAATGACAAAACTGTAAGTGATGATCAAATCAATTGCATCTTCACTGAAAAGAGGTTGTCTAACTAGTAATTACGATGTACAAAACACAAATATACATCCTGAAAAAAATGTTTTTTTTGGCTCGAGTCGAAAGTTGAAAGGTCTGCCTATACCAATGAGAGGCACTTTTTACAGTTAAACAAAAGTCTACAGTTTCCACTTCATTTTCCTTCTATTCCCATCCACATACACGCACTACAGCTTAGAAAGCAGAGTATTGTGGTACTACAATCACAGGCCCGTTCTTTACAGTGCGAAATGGTGCACAGAAAACAAAGAGATTATTTATACAAGTTTTTCTATTTGAAAAAAAGGAAAATCATGCATAAGAGTGTAACTAAAGTTTAATTTGCTCATGTTTATAATGAAAAGAAGTGAAGTATTCCTTCCAGATAGAGTAGGGCAAGACCAAAGGTCATCTTGTATCCCACATGTTACCAAGTATTGTCATATCATGATCATCAGTTGACATTATTCAAATTGGTATATTACTCTAAAATCAGTCTGATCCAAGCTCTTGTAGGACTTGCACATCAAGAAAGTCACCTATATCAAAATATTAGATACTATGGACTTGCCCAGTGACTTGATCTCTACATCACAATCTCCAGTCTTGCTGTTTGTACGTAAACCAAATAGAAACTGATTCACCTCATTTGCTCAAATGATAGAACTGTGAGAGTAGATTCCAAATAAACAAGAGTACATGACACAGACGTTTTTATCCCAAATCTCCCATTTCCAATCCCACTCCCTGTACCATTGCATCCTGGAGCTAATAACAGATGACTTTAGATTTTAAGTACAAAATAATCCATACTACACTATCTATGTACAATAAAACTCATTGAAGTAAGATTTACATCATGGCAATCATGATTATAATTGCATATTGACAAAGAAGGGATAAGAAAAAACTGTCTTTTCTTTCTACATTTACATTTTCATTCCCTACCCAGAACACTGAAAAGGAAATGTATTCTTCCCCTTAAAGCCCCTCTGCACTAGTTTGGCCAGGAGGGATTAGAACCCCCTGCACGGTCACTGGTAGGTGGTTATCTCATCAAATCGGCTCTCAATTAACATAAGAAAAAGGGAACCATGGGGACCAATGGTCACCGATTAGGCATTGTTTGCTATATAGAGGGCGCAAGTAGCTATAAGTAGTGCAGTGGGGCTTTAACATCTAAGGTTTGCAAATTCCTGTAGTCTGCAAATGTTAAAATGCATATTCTAACAATTATTTTGCCATACTTTTTTCAATACAAGATCAATTAGATTTTACAATAACAATATTTCTTAACCCTTAGACTACTTAATTTTCCCATTTCCATAGACGTAATACATGAACATATCATCCCATCATAGGAAATCAGTTAACATATTCCTCTTTAACAATCTTCATGTCTACAAGCTTTTATTTAGTGCAACTTATTACGAGAAAAGGAAGTATGCTTCCCTTGTATATCACCTAGAATATCACATATATTCAAAGTCATTTCAAAGTCTTTCATTCATCTTTTTTTAGATATACTGGCTATAATGAGAAACTTGCATGCTTTGATTCTTTACATTCTTATCTGAGTTTATAGGAAAAATGAAAAAAGAAAAGAAAAAAATCTTTGCACATGAGTGAAACTGGCAAAATCATACTTTTTAAATATTATGTTTTACTTATCAATTACAAATGGAATTAAAAGACTGGGCTTCAAATATATTCCTGGTGCGTATTGCAAGGGTTGAATGATCTCAACCATTATTTATAGAAGATGAAAATTTAATAGCAGATTATTTTCTTCATGTCTAAGAATAGATTTACCTAAATGGTTGCTGTATTTGTTCTTTATAACTTTCTTCCATATGCATACGGAGAAGAAACAAATTTTCACGGCATGGTTTAAAGGAAGCTTTTCCAAAGCACCACAATAAAAAAGGAAACAATACAGTAACACATTAACAAACAAAAACATAAGTATGGGCATTCAGATTCATACATAGTCTATAAATAAATCTTTCATTCATTTAATCATTAATTCTTTCACCACATTTTTCTAGAATTCATTATGCTATGTTTAAGATGACAAAAATGTACATTTTCTATGCTAATAAAGAAAATTCTATTATGATTATATCACCTAAATATGATACTGGCCCCTTTATCTTGTAACTTGAATGGCTAAGTATCGTACCACTACACTACTGTGGCTCAATATAAGACACAGGTTGATGAGCATTCCTAGGGCTTCTTATTTAATGGCATCCATCCCTTTATAACTCAAATAGAAAGAGACAGAGAATGTAAGACAAACTTAATGAATGAATGAATGAGTGAACATGAGATAGAGACCACAAGATCAGTGATCATTCAATTAGAAAGAGAGAACAGACAAATTGAGTGGAAGAGAATGAAGAAGACAGAGAACCTAAAATGGCAATGCTGAACCTCATTTAAACAAAAGACTAAACTGAAATGAAGTTTCATCTAACTTTTGGTGCTTTTTTTTTTTGGTAGAGTATTTAAAGTCAGAGTACAAGGTGTAAAAAAAGTTGCCCTTGTCCAAGGAATGTATTGTACATCGGGGGTCCTGGGAGCCAGACTCTGAATGGTTTGGTGTATAAAAGACATGAAGAAGAGCTAAGGTGTGGCATTCCTCAAAACTGAAACAGAAAAGAAAGAGAGAGAAAGGTCATTGTATTAACAATACAAGATATTATATACACAACCAATAAAAGGTAAATCCACTACATGTAAATATCAACTATTAATTATTACACTTACTACTGAGTGCAATGAGGTTTCCTCCTCATTACTGCAGATAATTGTTAGCATCATATGTATTTAATGACTTGCCATTACATCGTTTGTATTACTGTTGTATCAATCAAATATTATGTACATGTTTTGTTACCTTGTATATGCCTTACTTTGTAAATACTTATCATATGCAGTTAATGTGGAAAAAAAACCTAAATAAAAAAAAAAAAATTAAAAAACTGTTACATGACAGTTTTATCCATTTTCAATTTGTTGCTGATTTGAATGTCATTTTCAAATATCATACTTGTGAGGAAGTTAATACCGGTGTTAAATAGCAGCATCAAAAGAGAAGACTTATAGGTTTGAATCTTTATAAATAAAAAGCTTACAATTTTTTTTTTCAGACTTGACAGGGCAGACATTACAGCGCATTTACATGGCGGATTTATTGTGCTCAGTGCCATGTGCACTGCTTAGCACATAATAATAATAATCTGTTCTTGTATAGTGCATAACACATTATGATATAACATCCATATCCGCTATGACTATGCACAGGATCAATGCTCTGAACCAGACTTTACTGAAGACACGAAACCTCGTACCCAGGTACATAACACATTGAAAGTGTGACTAGACTGAAAAAGTGCCTCCTACCCTTTTAAGGAATTCCTCTGCGACAATCCTAGCACGAGCATTCACACTGAGCTTCATCTCACTGATCTCCTTGTCGATCTCCTCCATGAACTGGATGATGAAGTCCACCAGCTTGTGTTTCAACATCTGCTCTGTGTGGAAGTTTGTGATGAGGAAGCTGATGTCATACCCCTGTGCAGAGAAATGGAAGTTGAAATGTTTTAACGTTTTAAATGCAAAACAACAAACAAACAAATAAATTACAAAAATTTGATGTTTTCTGACACAAGATCCTTTAACACTTGCTTCATAGTTAATTTCCTACACTAAAACGTAGAGGTGTTATGGTCTAGTGGATGAGTCACCTGACTGCAGATCACAAGATACGGGGTTCAAGTCCTGCCGCAGCACTAATGTTCTTTGTCAAGACGTTAATCTACGTTTACCACTCTCCATCCAGGTGTGAATGGGTACCTGATATGCTTGAGCGCTAGTTACTTTGGCAGCTCGGCTTCAACCAGGGTAATATTTGTAAAGCACCATGAGCATATTATAATTTAAAATAATTCCTAACTTCAACCCTGGACCCAACACTTTACCTAGCCCTAACTCTAAAACCTAACCCAAAATTCAACCCTAACCCTTATCCTACACTGTTGACAAAATCACTCCTGAAGCATGATCTGTGGCCAAAGCAAATGCCAGATTAAGAAAGTTTGCTGTCTCAAAATACTGGTATAAACGTGAATTGTCTCAAAGGGAGGATTTGGGGAATTTTATGTGCAAGGCCTCATAATTTGCTCACAACGGACTTGATGGAATCCTCAATTAATACATGGGCAAATATCACATGCATCAACCCCCTTGAACATCATCCCATTGGAAATTACTTGGAGCATTGCATGCATAAGATCTGAGATCACTTGGTTGGGTTAAGGTGAAGAATTTATGATAATGAATTTCAGTAGCAAGGGCGGTTCATCCAAAGCCGCTAAATGGTATGCACATTGTATAAAAAGAGAAGTCCACCGTAGAAGTGAGGTCCACGATCAGTGACTTACAACTGCAAGAGACCAGACATTTCACTATTTGCAATATATCCTCTCTCAGTCACTTTAAAATGGCATATATGGATTCGGGAAATGATTAACCTTGAATTTCGTTTTTCTTCATATAATTCACTGTATTTGACCAAGCAGTGCTTTCATTATTTGTATTCCTTTCAGTTTCAATGAACTATAAATATCAGCAAAGGATATGAGCTCATCATCTTGAGAGTAAGTGAGGAATGAATGAATATGTTTACTTACCTCTACAGGTTTTCTTCGAAGAATGAAGAAGTTATCTGCTCTGAGCATCATAAAGCGGGTAAATTTGTGACAAAGGATCTTCTCGATTTCATCAGCCTGACAAAGAAAACAATATTCACACCATGAACATGATGAGCCATCGGGAAAGATACATACACTTATATATATGATGGAGGAGTAGACTATAAGTTACACACTTTTGTTTTCAGAATATTCACTTAAAATACACTTCATTCCTTTCTTCAGGAGGAAAAAAACAATAATGGATATTTAGTATTTCTTACCCAACAGCAAATGACCTTTGAAACTTGAGGCTATTTGAAATCTCGTAGAAACATGCCAATTGAAAACAAGGAGGAGAAAAGTCCACTTTGTACGTCATTGAATATTAATCCTTACCACATATTACATGCTCCCTATCTTGTCTATAAACCCTATGTTTCAGATAAAGAGTGATGAATTGATTCTCACCTGCTTGATGGCGATGCTTATTCTGAGCGAGTTGATTGAACCTTCTATTAGAACCTTCTCTCTTTCATTTCTGCTCACTGACACCGGTGTCAACAATAATTCTTTACTACTCCTGTATAATCAAACAAACATTAAACAACATGTTAGCAAACCATTCACCTCGTCATCCTGTCACAAAATAAATGAAATAAAAATTGAGGGTTCAGTGACACAAAGACGTAACTATTTTGTCAAAATAAGTATTTGATATCAAAATGTTCAGAAAAATGTGGGCTTTCCAGGAAACACAAAGACTTAACTCCCCCCAACACCCCATTGAAGTCAATGGCTAGTGAAACATAGACTTAACTGCTTGAGGCCCAAGTGCTCAGTGACACATAAACCACTTTTTCTCAAAATGGCCAAAATGGAGTTACGTCTTTGTGTCACTGACCCCTCGAAATGTAGATCAAATTGATAAGTTAAACTGGATTGTCATTACAGGTTGAAAGTAGATTACGTGCATTGCATACTAGACGTTGTATATCTCAAAGTGGCTTTTTCAGTAGTTTTCCTTATTTTAGAACACAAACCCTCACTACATGTACATGGTTGATGTTGCATAATTATAATGTACAGTACATCTAAAGTTCTAATCAATATCTTCTTATCAAACAACAAGCAGTAAATCACAAATGCTTTGTTTCCATGTGTGCTATTAAAATATTTCCTAATTGCGGAGTGATGGATCAGTGATAGAGGCCTAGAGCAGTGGGATCACAACTGGGAAGTTCTGGATTCTAAACTAAGTTGATGCACTAGTGTCCTTTGTTAAGGCATTAATCCTAAATATCATGTCCCTCAGATAGGACTCAGATTTCCACATATTCCTACATGTATGAGCATTTACTTGCTTTCTTAGCAGTCCAGTAAAGATATTATCAGTAAATTTATCACTCAATCTTGAGTCTTAAAACATATTCACAAAAATTCTACATTCAATCATGCCTGATTTATTTATTTTTCTTCCAGTTTCGTGGTCCAAATTCCAAAATGTCAACTTGTCAACCCAACCTGAAAATGCATATAAAATGAGAATAAGCCTCTAATCTGAATATTATACACTTGCTAAATAAGATCCTGGACTGTGAATTGATTTTTGTTTTGTTTGACTCACCTGACTTCTACTTCTGGTTTGTTGTGTCTTTCTACAACTTGTGAAGAGAAGTTTTCTAGGCACATAGCAGCGGTCAATGTTGACCTCACAGCATTAAGGTATGGTCTCAGTGTTGCAGCCTGTCAATGTAGAAAATGATAAAATATTTTTTCAGTTCTAGCCGATGGTAATCCTTAATAATAATCACTACTTTTCATAATTCATAATATATATTATAAGCATTACAACAGCATGAAGAAAAATGATAATAAAATCTAATTTTTAAAATATGTTGTTTAGTTGGACACTTTCTCAGTTAATATTGTTAATCAGATGAGAAATGATACAATCCTTGCATGGTATTATATTTTCTCCTCATTATACATGTTTTTCCCCCTTTATTGTTAAAAATCTGCTTAAGATGCCTATCAACAAGAAAATGCATAAATACAGTGCATATATTGAATACTGAATAGTAAAACAAAAATTGGTCATTGAATCATAAAAACATAAAAAAATCATCAACCTTTGAGTCTGTACATGTAATAAAACATATTACAGCTGTGCATAAAACAAAGCTAAACAATGTTATCTTATCATATCCAGGAACCCACTTCAGCTTCCTGATTTTACATGTATACTATAAATATATTTGAGAAATTCTGAATATAAACCGAGGATATGGTTGTATTTTGACAAGAGGCTTAGAGCCAGTGCATGTATTTCCTTTTCCCCTATTACACTGTACAGTATGCAGATCTCAACTCTCAAGTAGGAAACGAAGTAGGACTTTCTATTGTCAGAGTGCATGAATGCAATGTATAGACTACTTCCTCATACATGTATGTACCTGTATCTTTACCGGTATATACTGTAGTATCTCTCCTTACAAATCTTTTCACACAGAAGGCATTCTATTGATACTTTGGCAGATCATCAAGCTTTATTTGACATTTTACAGAAAGTGAAGCTCACAGGTGTATCAAATTGCTAGGTACTCAACAGAATTGTCCCTTATAACCCAGGAAACCCAAACATTTCAAAAGGGCAATGTATAGTATAACCACTGCTATATTCATGTATTTAAGTGCAATTATATAATACATCTGGGCAAAAACAGATTAATTATACATTATCTTTGTACAGTAAAGACTTGCCAATTGGGGCGTGCTTGAAATACTTTATCTCCATCACTTTATGTCCAAAATAAATATGTAATTACATTTTTTTTTTATTACTCCTAAACTGAAAATCAATTTTTAAAGTCTCTGAATGATAGAAAATAAACAGGACCTGTTTCTGTTGCCAATAAAAGATGATTTCTTGATTAACTTCTATAAATTTATTTAATTACTATTTCATTGCAATATCTAGTGAATTTTAAACCCTTCTGCTTGATTTCATAAAAATGATTGGAACCTACACCATGGTCTAAACCTCTGATTTATAATCGATGAGAAAAAACAAGAATAAAACTTAATGTTTTTGTCATAATTTTTCTCTATGTTTTTGGTTTTGTGTGTGTTTTGGGGGCTTTGAAAATAAACGATCAGGGACCAGTTTCACAAAGCCTTTTTTCAATGACAAAAATCAGTGACAAATCTGTTGATAACAAATCAGAAGCAAGGATTTCAGTTGCTTATAACAAAAACTGTCATTTATCACTGATGACAACAAGTTTTGTGAAACGCCCCCCCTGATGGCTCCTTGGGTCAAAAGGTCACAATGTTGTTGTTGTGTTTTGAGTTATTGGCGATTAGTCAGTGATTTGACTATTGTCGCCAAATTACTTTACGGCACGTGTTATATCTCTCAATTTTGGATTTTTTTAAAAATACATTTATTTCGTTTTATATTTATCTATCTTTTAAGATAGTATCGTAAAATAATATCGTAAGCAAAACATTCATGGGCTTTGTTAGTGTTTCTTAACAGTACGTGCAGATTATTTGTTATATCACATACACACCATACATAAATATGTATATAAGATAGCACCTACACAAGCTTCTATATTCAGTTATCTTATCATACCTTTTATCATTGTTGTTACTTTTTCTTATTTTATTTTCTTAATACATTATGTTATTATATTTTTAATGTACTGAGTGTAATTTAACATATTTATAATATCGTATTATGTTTTACTGTTCTTATTTTATTTTCTTATTACATTATGATTGTTATTATATTTTTAATGTACTGAGTGTAATTTAGCATATTATAATATTGTATAATGTTTTACTATTCTTATTTTATTTTCTTATTACATTATGTTATTATATTTTTAATGTACTGAGTGTAATTTAACGTATTTATAATATTGTATTATGTTTTACTGTTCTTTTTTTATTTTCTTATTACATTATGGTATACTGAGTGTAATTTAGCATATTTATAATATTGTATTATATTTTACTGTTCATCAAGGGAGGTATTACTTCCTGATAGGGAACCGTTTCGTTCTGAGAAAGAACCGTACAATAGCTTTTTGTATACGGGACTCACTCTTTTTTAAGTATTCCATAATTTTTTCAGGTTGGGATTCGTTAATTTCTGTTAGAAACATAGCCCTTTCTATAATATAGTTAGGGCAATGTACTAAAAAATGTTTTACAGTCTCTATTTCACTGGGGCATCTATTACAGAAACCAGTAGCATGAATTCCCAATCTGAGGAGATCCTGGTTAAGTCCAAGGACTCCAAAGCGGAGTCGATGTATTATTGTTGAATGTTGTCTCTCTAATGAGCATATATATGGTTTATTAACATCTTTTTGATATGTTTTCAAATACGAGTTGGTTTTGTTCCACCTTTCTTGCCAAAGGAGTTTGGAACTTGTAGTAATTAAGCTTTTCATTTCTGACATATTTAGGTTATTATTGACTTCTATTTTCTTTACTAATGCGGCCTTTGCGTGGAAATCCGCCATCTCGTTCCCTTTTATTCCACAATGTCCAGGTATCCACTCTACATATATATCAACTCCTTTATTCTTTAAGTGAGTAGTCATGGTGAGAATTTCCAGAATAAAAGATTCGTCCTTCTGTTGTTGTAATGCAATAAGTGCACTCAGTGAATCACTAAAAATAACAACCCCCACATAAATGTCTAATTCATCTACCCATCTGAGAGCAAGAATGATGGCAGCCAATTCAGCCCTGTACGAAGAGGTGAAATTTGCTAACCTTTTGCTCCGATGTACAGAATAGTAAGGGACGTAAAAAGCAGCTGCAGAGGTCCCTCTTTCAGGTACTTTTGATCCATCGGTGTATATATGTAATTGAGTCGCCCATTTAGTATGTATGATTTCCAGGCTGCTTTGTTTTTGTTGTGTAGGATGATCTGTTTTCTTTATTCGAGTACTTAATTCCGTTGACACTGCCGGAGGGTAGAATAACCATGGTGGAAATGGGGAGTAGGTTATCGTTTCTATACGTTTTCCCAGCTTGCTTTGTATTCTATATCCAAAAGGTTTGTTTACGTTTTTCCCCTTCAAGTATTCAAAATGCCAACATGGTTCAATGTTTTTTAACAACGGATGATTCGCCCATCTTTCGATGTTTTGTCTATATTTACTTGAAAGCATTTGTCTTCTTATATCCAAAGGCATTTCCCCCATTTCCACCTGTAGTGATTCTAAGGAGGTTAATGGCAGCCCACCTGCGCATATCCTCAGTGCTTATATTTTTCATATGGTGTCTTGAAATTTATAATTTGTTTTGAAATTCATGAATAAGATAAGTTAAAAACAGCAACACTCCTACAAGATTAGAAAAGGCAACATAGACCTACCGTATATACCACCAATACAGACATTTCAGAATTATTTGAGGGCCTATAATCTTTCCTCATAAATGGTGTTAAATAACTCTAATACTACTAAAGGCTGAGATGTTATCCCCTACATGTACATGAACAGAATGTCCATCTTAAAAACCGAAAATTTCGAATTTTTATTTTTAAATTCAAGAAAATTATATCCTCATGCCTTTAATAAAATTCAAATTGTCACATAAAGTTGTCATCAGATACAAATCATCTCAAAACTAGCTCATATTCAGGGGAGTAATATTAACAAAGCACAAAGGAAGGATGAACAGTCTGCACAAAGTGACTTTAAGTGTTCTCTTAAGTGTTTTACATCATGATGGGAAATGTAAACTACAGACTGGTGTACTTAAAAAATACTTTCAAAACGTAATACAGAGAATCACGGTGTATGTACATGTAGATTTAGATAATATTCATGTATGTACTCCATGTATGAAAGTTGTAATTGAAAGAAACATTTCTTTAAAGCCCAACTGCACTACTTATAGCTACTTGCACCCTCTATTCAGCAAACAATGCCTAATCGGTGACCGCTGGTCCCCCATGATCCCCTTTTTCTTATGTTAATTGAGAACTGAGATAACCCACTGTCAGTGACCATGCTGGGTGGTCTAATTCCTCCTGGCTTAACTAGTGCAGGCGGACTTTAAACAAAAAAGTGTTTAGACCAAGATATTAGGGCTTTACCAATTGATGGCTTAGGGTCTATGTAGACCATAAGTTCATAACCATTATACACACACAAAAGATATATTATCAACAGTTCCATTACAAAAAGGAAACGAATACTGGACAGATTAAGATAGATCTACAAATGTAGTCATCTAGTTGATCAATAATGACCAAAGTAGAGCCTTTGTACCGTAGACCAATTTAAAAGGGATTTGATTCAGATTTCAGCTAAATAACAGAAGAGGTGCACGAGTCTAGATCTAATAATATTAATTTTGCAAACAAATTAAATAGTTTTGATATTAGATTATACTGAGAATGAATGAAAGCTTCCTAAAACTGGTGAAAAGGTCGAGAGTAAATGGGAAAAAATGCATTTTCTTTCTGTATTCTGGTTGTTTGTCACAAGTCTGTTTTATATGAAAAGGATCTCCTCAGACTTGTAGTTCCCTCATTATACCAAGTTCTATGACTAGGTGCATGTTCTTCTAGGTCATGAGATACACATTTACTTGGAATGAAGGTGGATAGAAGGTGTTGTTGATGTTTCTTTCTACTTCTTTTTTTAAATTCATTTCCGAGACTTTATCATCCATGGTAAAGCAGGTAAGAAATGCAAGAAAAACTTCAAGTTCAACCATTTTTGTTTCCACTTGTAAGGTAAAATGTATACAAATCTCCATCTATTCTGAATTCATAGTATTTACCTCCACATTCTTAATGTATAATATGAGTAAAAATCATACAATTCAAGCACCCATACTGTGACATGTTACAATGCAAAGTGAATTAGATAACCGGAAGTCATTTGCATGGAATATCTGTGCACAGTGCGGCAAACAGATCGGATGGGGTCGAGAGTCACCAGCTAGGCCACTACGCTCCCGTAGGTTAGCAGTGTCTCCACCGTACATGCTTTTCGACATCCTTTTCCGCGTTCAGTTTCGAAGAGTTAAAATGGCATTATGACACAATTCATAAATAATCCTATACCTCTAATTGCTTAAATATACAATGAAAATGCAATTAAGTTACATGATTAATGCTAATTTTTTGTAAAATAAGTGAAACATACCATCTTTTATCGCACTTCCTACACTGCCAGGATCGGAAACGCCCGGTCATCAAGCACGAAATGCCTGTCCAACATTGAACACAGAGGGAGCCATAAATAAATAAACATTTCCCCTTTCCGATTCCCCATGTTCAGCTATAATGTGATTTTCACTTGACAGTCATATTTATTTATCTATTTTAATTTGTTAACGTATTCCCTCAAATGTTTTGCTCATTCGGTAAAAAGGGGCAGACCAAAGTGCTTCTTATGGGGGTGATGGTAGATCTATACTTGTATAACAAAACCCACAGAAATAAATTTTAAAAAAATAAATAAATACTCATGCACTTATTATAAATAATAAACAAGTTGATATCCCTCTTCTCTATCTCTCCCCCCCCCCCCCCCCCCCCCCCCCTCTCTCTCTCTCTCTCTCTCTCTCTCTCTCTCTCTCTCTCTCTCTCTCTCTCTCTCTCTCTCTCTCACCGCCCCCTTACAAAATATATACATATATATATATATATATATATATATATATATAAAAGTTCAAATTTTGCTGTTAATTGCCCTTCTAATTTCTTACCTTTTTTTATATCTACATTGCTTTTTATCTTATATGTATACTATTAATATATTTTGGCTTTTATTAAAGATACAGGTCAGACAATAAACGAGATTAGTAGATCGTTGATTGTTTTATTGTTTTGTTTTTGTTGATGGTTTAACAAAAAACATATTATCAATCTCGTTGAAATTTAGTATTGTAAAAACTAAAAAGCATTATTTATTGTCATCCCATGCTTACTGTCTCCCACCACTAGGTTGGATTTGGAATAGGGTCGTATTGTCGGTGTCATCTCGCGTGGATGGGTTGGTAAACATAAAACATATCTATATAAACCTATATTGTTTTACTATCATGTTGTATTTTTTTTATTTCTCTTTTCTTTTTCCGTTTTATTTGAAAAGAAAAGAAAAACAAATGTGTAAAAAGTATTACTAGTAGGCCTAATTCAATTTATTTTCATCCCTGTATCATATTCCAAAAGAGACATGCAGGATGTTCATTTTTGACATTTCGAGTTATTGTCATCTTTACTTTTACCATGTTACACTATAATTTTGAAATTTGTTATCCAATGTTAGAAAACAAAAACTGATTGAGAATGATCCGATTTTTTTGGATTTTAATCAATAAAATTTGGATTGAATAGACTTAACAGATAATGCAGGTTCATGTCCCCCCCCCCCCCCCCCCCCCCCCCCCCCCCGCCGTGTTTCATTTTTGTTTTTTGTTCTATTCTATTCTTTTGGTTAACAACTTCAATGACGAAACCCTTTACATCGTTAATTCAGAACGTAACATGGGTGTATTGTTAGCAAAACTAAAGAGCCTACTAGATAAGTTGTGTAACAAAAAATACCATTACGAATACCAGGCCACTGTGTGTTTCGATTTGTCTGCATCGCTGGTCCGCACAAAACAATACCTTGTATTCGTCGGAGCGAATAGCGCGGTATATTCAAGGATTGCACCTGGTATATTCTTATAGTCTGTCATTCCACTTGAAATTCATGGACCAAGGACCAAGAAATAGCTATGTGCAATGAGTTATGCTGCCACACTTCGCCAACATACGATGAATGACAGATACATCATTGGTTGTGAATTCTTTGAAAGAGGCTGAGGGTCATTAATTATTGTCACCACTCACCAGCATTCTGCCGTATAGGTGAGTTATACACCAATAACATTCCATGATCGTCATGTATGCAAGGCATGTGATACAGCTAGTGGTCAACACATTGTAAGCCAAATTGACCATCAGCATGACATATAATGTGCACTGAGTTCAGAATGCATGGGAGACGGGCTGATGACCGTAACGGGTTATCTCAAACCACATGGCACAATGTTATACTCCTTCAAACAGCATGATATAAAAAAATAATTTGTATCCGATATTCCATGCCACTTGTTTATTTCATGCTAGTCATATTGTATTCGTAAGTTACATTTTGATGTGAGTTTGATGTTATGCATTTATCAGCAATGTCTTGCATGCAAGCTAGGACCATATTGATAGAACAATGTCTATGAGGGGAATATAGGAGGGGTTCGCGCATAATATTATCTTTTTTTGAAATCGCAATTTCCCCTATATATTAATCCTCACTTTTCCTTTATAACCCCCCATTTTCCAATGGGTGTAGAGGGCACATGGAGAGGCGGCGCTCCCGGGGGCAGGGGGGGGGGGGGCACAGTGCCCCCACTTTTTTAAGTACCCTAAAAGTGCCCCCTTTTACACAGGAAAAGTGCCCCTTTAACTTTGTAAAAATGCCCCTTCCCCTTTTCACCTGTGATAAGTGCCCTTTTTATTTTGAAACGTGCCCCTTTTCGTTCGACAACTTCCCACTTTCCTATGCAATAAGTATCCATTATCGATTCTCATAAGTTACTTTTTAGTCACTAGTAAGTGCCCCTTTCCAGCCTATGAGAAGTGCCCCTTTTCACATTTGATAAGTGCCCCCTTTCACCTCCGATAAATGCCCCTATCAAAATCTGATTGGTGCCCCTTTTTTCAACAAATATCAGGTCAGTGCCCCTTTTCACATTTGATAAGTGCCCCTTTCACCTCCGATAAATGCCCCTATCAAAATCTGATTGGTGCCCCTTTTTTCAACAAATATCAGGTCAGTGCCCCTTTTCACATTTGATAAGTGCCCCCTTTCACCTCCGATAAATGCCCCTATCAAAATCTGATTGGTGCCCCTTTTTTCAACAAATATCAGGTCAGTGCCCCTTTTCACATTTGATAAGTGCCCCCTTTCACCTCCGATAAATGCCCCTATCAAAATCTGATTGGTGCCCCTTTTTTCAACAAATATCAGGTCAGTGCCCCTTTTCCCATCTTTTAGGAGCCTGTCCCCTTCTCATTAATGCCCCTTTTCACCTCTAATTAATGCCCCTATCAAAATCCGATGGGTGCCCCTTTTCCGTCGACAAATACTGATTTCAAATTCTCATAAGTGCCCTTTTTTCATCTCAGGTGAGTGCCTCTTTTCAGGTGCAAGGAATGCCTCATTTTCTTTTTGTGATTTGCTGTGAAGTTTACAGTGCCTGATGAAATGAATGAATGCATGAATGAATATATACGACAAGAACGCCTATGATTATGATTTCATTATATTTGTTACGTCATTCCTATTATAGGTTTACCACCACGGGAGCGTCATGCCAGAGGGTCCAAGCGTAAGACGATGGGGTGACACCGCTCGTCAATTCATCCATAAACGCATCAAGGTGGTCCGAGGAGTCAGCAAGGTTATGGAGCGTGAGAGATGGAGAGGTGCATGTATCAATGCCGTCGTCGTCTATGGCAAGCAGTTGTTCCTCCATCTCCTACAAAATAGTCCTTCAGGAAACGACACAAGCGGCAATAGTGAGCCGGACACATCCGCGAGAAAGAAAACTATGAAGGCGTGTGATCTTAAAGAAGAGAACATTGACGATAGAGATGACTCCATCTGGTACCGATATCACTTCTTGATGTGGGGTAGCCTACGAGCGAATGAATACAAAGAGCCATCAAAACGCTCGAAGCGAGCAAAGAAATCAGAAGCACCAAAAGCTCCCAATCCTATGGTGGAGTTTTACTTCGAGGATAAGACATTTCTTGTCTTCTACGGCGGCAGCATCCGTATCGTTGACGGGCCATGTGAAGATGAAGGGACGGACGTGCTATCCGAGACATTTGATTTCGAAAAGGCGGCGACGGCGTTACTGAAACCAATACCAATCTGCTACACCATTATGGACCAGATGCACTTCGCGGGAGCCGGTAACATCGTAAAGAATGAAGTGCTCTATGCGTGTCGAATGCATCCTCTGGAACTAGGAAGCAATCTGACCCGATCCGAAGCCGTGCAACTCGCCGAGGAAGTCGTGCGATTTACCAAGGACTGGCTAAAGTGGGAGGAAGAGCTGCCGGAGTATCAGAAATTCGGCTCCTGGCTGAAGATGTACTGGAAGTTCAAATGTCCCGACGGTCATAAGACTATGAGAGGATTCTTTGGAGATGAACTGAAGAGAATGACGATGTGGTGTCCCGAATGCCAAGGACTGAGAGTTGAGAGTGATATGTCAAAGACAGAGCTAGAAAACATTGGGAAAATTAAGAAAACTACAAATGTGAAACGTGAGAATAAAGATGAATCTGATGATGACGGTGATGTGAAACGCCCAAAGAAAATGAAATCGGTAAAGGCACCTGGTAAAAGAAAAGCGGTTGTAAAGATGTCGGGGAAGAAGAATCTGAGATTGAAATATGAGGACGATGAGGATTTTGCTCAAGAGCCGTTTACATCATTCACACCAAAGTCTAGGAAAGTGAGTGTTTCCAAAGGACGGAAGAAGAGCAGATCTCCCCCAACCAGAACAAGAACAGGGGAAAGGGAATCAGTAGAACCATTGCGTGAAAACAAGGTATCCCAAGTTGCCTCAAAGAAGCAATCAAGAAAACGGACTCATTCAGAGATGACCAGAACGGAACAAAAGGATAAATGTACGAAAGTCAAACAGGAATGCCGTCCTGATGTTGCTGATGACGTCGACGTTAAGAACAAAAGATGCAAGGGGATAAGCTTGAAAGCCCGAGTCAAAGTTGAAAATCAGGGAATTGAAAGTGATAAGTCGGCAAGGGCAAAGACTCCTCAGAGGAGAAGCGCACGACTAAGCAAAATAAAACTTGAGGTGTAATGGACTGAGGGAGGCATACTGTCTCTTTTTGTTGTTGGTTTAATTCTATTAAATTCGCTATGAAGATTAAAAATGATTTAGCTGTGAAGGATGTCTTGCCTCTACTGGTGCAAGAAACTGTTTAGGGCCTTTCTAACGACAATTGTTTTTCATTTAAATTAAACAGAGGGCGATGGGGGTCACGGGAGCATTCCTCCGACGTACGGTCTGGTTCAATTTGCAGGTTATAGGCAGTGCCGATTTCATTTAAACGCTTTATAGCTGATGACTGATTCAAGTTTTTCTCACAATATATTCAAGTACGATGGTGTGTTTTGTCAATGCCGGGAACTGAGAAATATCGACTCGCCTTGAGGGG